CTACAAAAAGATTCCCGGAACAAATAAGCCAAAATAGCAAGATTACAGGGTACAGTCAATGTATAAAAGTCAACTGCTTTTGTATATACCAGCAATAGTAACCAAAACCAGTTAGAATGGCACCCCCCAAAAAAAATCACTCCAAGAAACTTAAATATAAATGTAGCAAAATACAAGTATGTACAAGATTTATCTGAGGAAAACAAAACTCTGAGAGAAGTCAAAGATATAAATAAATGGGAAGATAGTCCATGTTCATGGACAGAGAGATTCATCATTAACACTTTTTGTCAATATGATCTATAGGTTCAAAATTATAATCCCAGTCAACAGATTCTAAAGCTTGAATTCATTTACCATAAAGCTGCAGGAATCAACAGGCTTTCATAGTGAAAAAGATTCATGGATTGTTGACAAAGGACAAAGGCAGTTCAAAGGAGGAAGAATAATCTTTTCAACAAATGGTGCTGGCTGGACAGCTAGATATCCATGTGTAAACCAATGAAACTTGAGACTTTTTATATCTTTCACAAAATTTAATTCAAAATGAATGACAGGCCTAAATATAAAATGAAAAACTATAAAATTTCTAGAAGGAAATCTAAATGACCTTAAGTTGGCAATGACTTTTCAGTTACACCACCAAAAAGCTACCATCCATGAAAGAAAAATTTGATTAAGTGGGACTTCATTAAAATTTAAAATGTCTATCTAGTCCATGACACTGAAAAAATGAAAAGATAAGTCATATACTGGGAGAATATATTCACAAAATTTATATATGATAAAGGACTTATAACCAAAATACACAAAGAACTCATAAAATTCAACAGCAAGAATACAACCCAGTTACCAAATGGGATAAAGATGTGACCAAATCTCTCACTAAATAAAACAGACAGATGAAAAGATACTCATCAGCATGTCACCAGAGAACTGGAAATGAAAAACAATGGACACCATTATACAGCTATTATAACAGCAGAAATCACACCACCAAACACTGTGAGGATGTGGAACAACAGGAATTCTATTTTGGAAGAGATCTTGGCAGTTTCTTACAAAGATAAACTATAAAATCTTAGAAAGGCATACTATAGGATCCAGCAATTACATTCCTGGGTATTTACTACTCAAATGAATAGGTAACATGTCCACATACAAACCTGCACAGGGATGTTTATAGGAGGTTTGTTTACAACTGCCAAAATCTGGAAGCATTCAAGACATCTTTCAATAGGTGAATGGATAAACATGTGATTCCTCCATAAAATACAGTATTAGTGATAGTAGTATTAGATTTTAAAAATATGAACTATCGATCCCTTAAAAGACATGGAGAAACCCTAAGTGTATATTGACCAAAGACAGTCTGAGAAGGTTTTGCGGGAAAACACAGTCTCTGTACCTTTTCACATAACACTTCTGATGACAACTTTGCAAACAGTATTCTCCTACAACTCTCTCACAATCCAGCACACTTGTGACCAGATGTGAAAGGAATTTACCCACAAACAAGCAACTCTTCACATCTCTGGAACCTGCTGAGTGGCCTACAATGTAATTCTGATACTTCTACCTGGGCATTAGAGCCCACAGGTTAACGGCTCATTTTCACCAAACTGCTCCCAACTCTAGATGTCCATTCAAATCCCAGGAGGTGACCAGTGCTTCTGGCTGATGAGCTATCAATCAAGATTCCTGGAACTCCCACTGCCCTCGGGTTTGGTAATTTGGTAGGATGTTCTCAGAACTCAGGGAAACATGTTTTGGGGATTATTATGAAGGATTCAATTAGTCAGATGAAGAGGTACCTGGGGTTAGATCAGGAAGAGTCCCAAGAGCAGGAGTTTCTGCATCCCTGGAGTTGGGTCCACCAGCCGGGAAGCTTACCAGCTCTGCAGGTCAGGAGCTTTTATAGAGCTCCACCTCCAGCCCCACCTGACACATCCTTTCCTGAGACTGGCTGATGGGGTTCAAAGTTCAGATCCTTTACACATTAGGTAGCCTCATTAGTATAAACTTAGGTGTGATCTTCAGGGCTTGTGAATACAAAAAAACACACAGAAAACAAAAAAAACCTCACACTTATTACCTAGGAAACAAAGTTAGGAGCTTTGTGCCAGAAATTCCTGAAGGGAACCAAAAACATGCAATCATCCTCCATATCTATGGATTCTACCTGAAAAAAATTAGGGAAAAACTGCATCTAACCCGAATGTATATAGAACTGTGTTCTAAATATTCCCTGAACAGTACGGTATAACAAGTACTCACCCTGTATTAGGTACTATAAGTAATTAGACATGATTTAAAGTAAAGGATGTATGTAGGTTATATTCAAATACTTTGGCATTTATAAAAGGGACTTGAACATCTGTGGGTCCTGGAAGCAATCCCGCATGGATACCAAAGGATGAATATACTCCTTACTACAGTATTATACTGTATGTTTCCAACTCTATGACATCTTAGAAAAGGCACAACTACAGAGATAGTAAAAACACATTTGTCAAGGGTTGGAGGGTGGGGAAGAGATGAACAGGTAGCACCCAAGGCACTGTTAGGGCAGTGAAACCATTCTATATATACTAGAATGGTGGATACATATTTGTGAAACCACACAAAAGTATGCAAAATAATGAGAACGCTAATGTTAACTATGAGCCTTAGTAAACAATAATAGGGGAAACCGTAGGGGTAAGAGTGTTATAGATAAGGAATTGTCAGGGACTAGAGAAAAAGCCAGAGGAAATGTCACCACATCTTTCCCCAGAGCTGCCGCTAAAAAACCCCTCCAATGGCCTGCAACCTAAAAATCTCTACTGCAGCATAGCTGCCACCCAGAACCATCCTGCTGAAAATATCCAACATGGCTGCTGACTGCTTCATCACAATGACCTCTAGACTATTATATCATTATAAGACTTCCATGGCTGACACTCCCACTCCCATCATGCTCCTTAGGCCATGACACTGCCAAGACTTCCTAAAAAGGCCAGAAAACAGGCAAACAACAAATTCCTAGAAAGCTCTGCCCCCCCCAACCCCCCCCACCTCGTGCCTCTGGATTACATAAAGGGATGATCTGCACCCCAGTGGGCTGCAGCTTACTACGGAGTGTGCCCACACTCACTTTGAGTGTGCACTTTTGCTTTGCCAGTAAATCTTACTTCTCTGCTAACTTTATCTACAACTTTTCCTTGAATTCTTTCGTGTGTCAAAGAAAAGACCCTCAGCTCCCCAACGTGAGGGTGGGTCTGTGGGAACGCCAATATCTCTGCTCAATGTTTCTGTAGGCCTAAAATTAATACAGAAAATCAAGTCTATTAATTCCTTTTTAAAAAGCACACTGTGGTCTTGCTTAATAAAACTGACAGTGTATAGCCTTGCCCTGAAACACAAGTATGAAGCACTCTGAAAGCTGAAACAGAATAAAACCAGCAAGTGAAGAAAAGAATTTCCCCCAGTTATTCAAGCTCTTCCAAGTCACCAAATAGGATGTAATTCAAATTTTCTTCAACAGATTAAGAATATCGTAAGATATTAAAGATTTATTTCTTTAATTTCTTATCACACCTTCACTGATGGTTAGTCAAATTCAGTTTGCCTATTAGAAAAAAGGAAGGCATGCAATGGTTTCAATTTAATTTCTTTCTTTCTCTCTCTTTTTTTTTTTTGACAGGCAGAGTGGACAGTGAGAGAGAGAGACAGAGAGAGAGGTCTTCCTTTGCCGTTGGTTCACCCTCCAATGGCCGCCGTGGCCAGTGCGCTGCGGCCAGCACACAGCGCTGATCCGAAGGCAGGAGCCAGCTACTTATCCTGGTCTCCCATGGGGTGCAGGGCCCAAGCACTTGGGCCATCCTCCACTGCACTCCCGGGCCACAGCAGAGAGCTGGCCTGGAAGAGGGGCAACCGGGACAGAATCCGGCGCCCCGACCGGGACTAGAACCCGGTGTGCCAGCGCCACAAGGCGTAGGATTAGCCTATTGAGCCGCGGCGCTGGCTCAATTTAATTTCTAATGTATAATCCATCTCCTTCAATCTATTCTGTATTGGGTGCTTTCTGATACCAGAATGAGCCACAAAAACAGGCTGTGCTAAGGACGGAGCAATGGCTTAAATCTTCAGGAAAGGTTATTATGCCCCCTAGTGAAGTCCTATGGAATTTCCCTAATAATTCAATGATTTCTAAAACAGTCAAATCTATCTTTTAAGAAGTCAATGATTTTTCCCAAGTTACTAAAAATATTTATTTGTCAAGATGCTCAGATCTTTATTTCCAGAAGACCCAAGTTCCCGGGCAAGCCAGAGGGGTCTGTGATGGTAACACAACTACAGAATCCACATGGCCCACTGCCACTCACCTGCTTTTCAGTTCTGGCAGTTGTTCTCTCCGTGCAACCTGACAGGAATGGAGGCATTCCTATCACAAAGACCAAAGCTCTTTCTTGGCTCTTTTCTTCATCCCTCAAATACAGTTAAATGCTATTTTTTTATATGGTATTTTAGTGTCTGGTGTGAAAACAGAACAAAAAATCACAATGAAAACAACACTGAACTTTTCAAAATGGACTCAGGAGGCCTCCAGGGGAGCAGGATTTATGCACATCTCCTGTCGGCTGCCTGGGAATGGGAATCTTGGTTACCTTTACCAAACATCTGGAACTGATAACTATATTGTGTCCAGAATAAAGATGCATATAAGAGGTTACCAGACTCTCACTATATGAGTATTTTTATTAAGTACTCATATATACATTCATTATCTTTTGTTTTCCCGCAGCCATTGTTCTTTCTCAGTATCTAAAATTTCCTACAAAGAAAATGTTACTGCTTTGTAACACATCAGCACCATCTCTCTGTCTTCTTTGGAACACCGATTTAAAGCAAATCTGCATTTCCTGAGTTCCTAAAACCCTATATAAAACTCTTTTACTTTTATAATTTCTGAATGTAAATTGATTGACATTAGCACTCTAAGTTATACCAATACTTACTAGTGCTAGCTTCCCTTCTTCATCTTCCTATCCAGTGATCTGGTCAAACCAGGCTCATGCAGTAGGGTCTTCGATCATCTAAACTTTGGCCATTAATTCAAGTAATCCTAGTGTAAGGGAAAAAACTGTTTCCCCTCTACTCTCACAATACATAATACCTTTGTAATCAAATGTAGAGATCCCCCCTCACACCATAAACAATTCTCTCGACACTAAGTGTCTCACATTCACTCCATCAAATGCTACCTATCTTAAGACCTTGAGTCAAATCTCACAGGTTCAGGGTGTAGTCCTGACTACTTCCTATTTCAGATGCAAATCACAAGTGAAGGTGGTCACCTACACTTCTGACTTGAATGGCTAGAACTTGGGAGTTCCCATCTTGGGTTCAATTAATTCCATAAATCCTCCTTGGGTTTGACAAATTTGCTAGGAAGACTCACAGTACTCAGGAAACATTTATTTGTATTTACTGGTGTACTATAAAGATATTATAATAGATACAGATGAAAGCCAAAAGGAGACAGAAAGGGTGAGGTATATGGTGAGGGGCTCCTATGGTTTTTCTGGGCACACTACCCTTCAGGCACATCCATGTGTTCGGCACCTGAAAACTCACTTTATCTTATTGTTCAAGGGTTTATATAATGCAAGTTCTCTGATCTCTAGCCCCTTCCCAGAGGAGGGAGGGTGGGACTGGAAGTTCCAATCCTATAATCCCTTTCTGGAGACTAGCCCCCAACCTCACTAGCATAATTGCACACATTATGGAGGGACCTCATTTTAAACTTCAAAAAAAAAAAAAAAAAAATACTCCCATCACCCAGGAAACTCTAAGGATTTTACAAGGTCTATGACAGGAACCATCTGTATTTCATATTATTCTACACCTAGGTTCTTGAGAAATCATTTCTAGTCATGTCCTTAACCTTGAAATCACCTGCTAGCTCTTCACAAATTAAATCCTCACAGCTGCACTATCCCAGTCTGCAGCTACTTCTATTTCCAGCCTCCACTCTGTCATCCACAGCCTCCTCCTAGCGTCCCCTCCCCCGCTTCCCTTTCCTTTTTCAAGTCTAGCGGGTCCTCCTTGTTTCAGCCTGAGGTCTTCACCAGCTTATCTTCTACTGCACATTCCTGGAATCACCGCCTTGTCCTTCTGCCACACCATCCCACAAAATCCAACTCTGAGACTGTCCAGCTGTTTTTTTCCACAATTACATCTCAACAGTTGAGCACTGCTCCTGAAGTCTATACAACTGAGTAGATCAGTAGCAGCACATATAGACAGTATTCAAACATCATCCTATCTCGAAAGGCTCTCTGTTTGCTATATGACAATTCATGGTTTCTGGTTGGCTCTCTTCCACATTCCCCTCAAGGACTTTTCTACACCTTGCCCAATCTCTCCAAGCATCTTACAACTTACTTTTGTCAGACGATAAATTTAAGTCAGATGATGACCCTCCTGTTTAAAAACTTCTCTTGGAGTGAGAGCCTAGTCTGTACACCTGCTTCCAAAGCCATACCTAATCTCTTCCCTCACCTCACCTATTTCTTCCTCTCATTCTAGTCTTCACTGACTCTGCCCTCCCCCGCTCCCTTGCAGCTCTGTCATCATGCTAAAAAGGCCCCTGCCTTAAAGTTACTGCACCAGTTGTTTTCTCCGATTGGAACAGTCTTTTCCCGATATCTGCAAGCCACCTATAAAGACTACTTTGACCATACTACTTAAAACTGAAACACTACTGCATTCTCATCTTCCTTAATTTGCTCTTAGTTCCTTTTGTTCAGAGCATTCATCTTGCAACATTCTGTATAATTTAACTGCTTATTATGTTTACTCTTTAACGGTCCCACAAGGATCAAGACAAAACAAAGACTAGCTGACACACAGCAGCGCTCATTAAATATTTGTTTAATGAATAATCAGATAAAACTATCATCTTCCTCCTTTTATAAGTGAACCAAAATTATCATTGACTACATTTTCCTCACATTTATTTAACTGCCATTTCTCTCTCTTTTATCTTCAACTGCCCTCTCCATTGGATTCTTTCCTTTGACATATAGATACAAACCAAGAAAATAGATCTGTCATATCTGCCCAATTTCTTCTCTCTCTTTGACCAGCAGTTTCTTAAAAACAACAGCTGCTTCTTTTTCACATACATTGCCCTCCCACCACAAACCACTCAATGAGTTCTGACTCATACCTGTTAGGCCTTTCATTCTGTTGCAGAGTTGTTCTTACCACTTGCTTCCTACTTGTTCAAAGACTTGTTTCTATGCCTCCAGTTTTCTTCCGCCATTTTATCATGGAGTTTCCTTCTCAGCCTCATCCATAGACTTCTCTTTAAGTTTGAGCTCTTTGACTACTCTACACACCTTCTATGAGTAAACAGTTTTGCATCCATTAAAGTGATGGACCCCGAATTTGTATTTTCTATCCAGATCTTTTTTCAATTCTTGTTTCTTTGAAATGCAGAAGGGGTGGAGCTGGTGGGGGGTGGGGAGAAAAAGAGAAAGACAGCGAGAGAGAGAGATCGAGAGAACCATCCTCTGGTTCACTCCCCAAATGCCCACTAACAACCAGGGCTGGGTCAGGAGGAAGGAATTCTATCTAGGTCTCTCATGTTGTGGGGAGGGACTCAAAAACTTGAGCCATCATTTGTTGTCTCCCAGATGCATTAGCAGGAAGCTGGATTGGAAGGCAGAGGCAGGACTCATCCCAGGCACTCCAATAAGGGATGTGGGTGTCCAAAGCAGTGGCTTAATCTGCTGTGCCACAACACCTACTCAGATCTTTTTGTCTCTCAACCAACCTGGACTGCCCAAATGTTTATTCTGGACACAAAGCACCTCATAAGGTACTCATTAATACCTAGTCTTCCCAATCCCATTTGGTGCCCAAGACAAAAAGCTACATGGAAGTCAGCCAGGAATCTTCCTATCACTTCAGTTCTTGCATCCAATGTTTATCAAGTTTTACCAAATCAGTATTGTAGAGGGGCAAATTAGAGGAGCCGCATAAGAAAGAAGAGAAATGGTCAAGGAGAAAGAATGACCAAAAGAAGACAGAGACTCAAAAGAGATCTTAGATTCTCGAAAATGAAATTAAAAAACATAAAAACAATAAGAATATAAAAAAGGTCTGTCAGTGCAAAACCAACAGGCTGTTGGCCCTTTACCATGTGAGGTTCTAGTGAAAAAATGGCTGTCAATGCACCAGCCCTCACCAGACACGTCATCTGCTAGCAACTTGACTGTGGACATCCTAGTTTCCAGCACTGTGAAAAACAAAATTCTGTTAAAGTCACCCAGCATGTGGTGTTTTTTAAAAGATGTCTTTATTCGAAAGGCAGATTGGCAGAAAGAGAGGGAGACACAGAGAAGGTGGTGTTCCATCTGCTGGCTTCACTCTCCAAATGCCTGCAATAGCCAGGGTTAGGTTAAACAGATGTCAGGAGCCAGGAACTCCATCTGAATATTCCACATGGCCCAAGCGCTTGAGCCAGCATCTGTTGCCTCCCAAATGCAAAGGCAGGAAGCAACCGTGACATGAGCAGGGACTCCAATACAGGATGTGAGTGTCCCAAGTAGGGACTCTACCCAGGGGTCACAATGCCTAAACAGACTTAACACAAAATACACCCTTCTGAAAATATCATCTCCACTGATGAAAAAAGGAGTCAAAACGAAGAACTTGAGAACGTGAGAGTTGAGGGATTAAAGTCTCACTATGGTCCGCTGAGAAAGCGCAGGTAGTTCTCATGGACTTAAACCACACAGATCACCTGCTGGGTGGCTCATCTGGTGTCAATGACTTTCCTCAGTCCAGCTCTCTTTCCTTGTTAAAAATGCCAGAGATGTCAACAGCTAAGATGTTCAGATCTTGAAAGAATGACTTGGTTATAATCTTTTCTATAATTACAAGTTTGAATTACACAGTTCTAATAAAGCCTTGTTCCTTAGAGCACAACTCTGATTATAAATTTAAACTTCTCAATGTTAAAACCAGTAACTTCAGCCGGTGCCGCGGCTCACTTGGCTAATCCTCTGCAATGTGGTGCCAGCACCCCGGAGTTCTAGTCCCAGTTGGGGCGCCGGATTCTGTCTTGGTTGCTCCTCTTCCAGTCCAGCTCTCTGCTGTGGCCCAGGAAGGCATTGGAGGATGGCTCAGGTCCTTGGGCCCTGCACCCACATGGAGACCAGGAGGAGGCACCTGGTTCCTGGTTTCAGATCGGTGTAGCGTGCCGGCCATAGCACCCACTTGGGGGGTGAACCAACAGAAAAAAGGAAGACCTTTCTCTCTGTCTCTCTCTCACTGTCTAATTCTGCCTGTCAAAAAACAAACAAACAAACAAAAAACAAACAAACAAAAAAACAGAAACCCAGTAACTTCCCCACAAAACCATTTTTTCTTGAAGGACAACTTAAAAAATTTTGGCATTCTTGCCTGATGTAAGTCTACAATGTATGCTGATAGAAAACAACATGACAAAAGCTTCAACACCAGAGGTAAGATTTGACATTTTGCAACCACCATCTTTTAAGTTTTTTCTCAAATTACCATGATTTACTCTTTCTATTTTCAGCCCCCTTCTTCCTTACCACCAATTTAAGATCTCCAGCCTTCAGAGCAGTTCTTTCAAAAAGCAATTTATTTATTTGAAAGGCAGAATTACAGAAAAAGGGAGAGACAGAGAGAGATCTTCCATTCGCTGGTTCACTCTCCAAGTGGCTGCAACAGTCAGGGCTGGGTCAGGTCAAAGCCAGGAGCCTGGTCCAGGCACTTGGGCCATCTTGCACTGCTTTTCCAGGTGCGTTAATAGAGAGCTGGGTTGGAAGTTGGAGTGCTTGGGGGGTCTCAAACCAGCACACGTATAGGTATCACAGGTGGCCTCTTAACTTGCTGCAACAATGCCAGCCCCCATAGCACTTCCTAAACTAGTAAACCTTGCACTAGAACATAAAAGCATCCCAGGGGTACCAATATGTATACAGTCTTGAAAATATTTAAACATGTGAATTAGCACAGACTTGTAATTCCAGTCAACCTCTGCAGACTGGCAGATGATGCCTGAGGCCAGACTCTACCAAGGCTTCAAAGGTCAGGAGCAGTGAAGGACTTGACTCTGAAATATTCACTGACCCATCTCCTAGCTGCTCAACACTACTCCAGGAAACTTAATTCACTGTTTTCTCAACAGCATTAGAACTTCTCAAGGGGGTAGGAACCAGAGTATTTTCTTCTGCACCTTCAGATCAGGTACAGCAGACCAATGTAAAATGGTTATAAAGCGGGGCTGGCGCTGTGGTGTAGTGGGTAAAGCCGCTGCCTGCGGTGCTGGCATCCCATGTGGGTACCGGTTCGAGTCCCGGCTGCTCTACTTCCAATCCAGCTCTCTGCTATGGTCTGGGAAAGCAGTAGAATATGGCCCAGGTCCTTGCCCCTGCACCCTCATAGAGACTCAGAAGATGCTCCTGGCTCTTGGCTTCAGATTGGTGCATCTCCGGCTGTTGCGGCCAACTGGGGAGTGAACCAGCGGATGGAAGTCCTTTCTCTCTCTCTCTCTCTCTGCCTTTCCTTCTCTATGTAACTCTTTCAAATAAATAAATAAATCTTTTTTTTAAAAAAAATGGTTATAAAGCAACAACAGAGTTTTTCACTGACCAACTACCAAATGCTTGACATCACACACAATTGTAACCCTTCTGGCACTTGGTATATGTGCAAACAGTCACTGCCTTCAAGTAAAGACTGGAATTGTAATATATTTATGAAATTGTAAAGGATTTAAGAATTCCCAAGTAAAGAGCAAGTGCAAATTACTTTACTTGGGAAAAGTGACATGCAGCAAGAAGGATAAAGTGAACTTGGTGGCTTCTGTTTTTCATGCTGTAATCTGCCCCAAACAATTATCTAACTAACTGGTCTTCTCTGACCTTTGGCTTTGTATACAGGAACCAAGAGAGAACTAAACTCCCAAGTTTAACTTAGGATCCCAGATTACTGCTTTCTGAATTACATGTAACTGTATTCTTTACTATTAGCTTATATCCACATCAATGAAGAGTCACCAAAAGTATGAATCTGGAGAGCTGGATAACAAAGAGTTCATCCTCTTGAAAAAACAAACTCATAACTGATTCAGCCGGTTGCCAACTATGTCTGCACAAATTTTGCATTCCAACACTGGGGAAATAATCACAGGGTGGCACAGGTACCTACTGACCCACTGGGGTGAACCTGAGCTAAAATTCCACTGACTACCTGAGCTGCATAAACCGCTACTCTGAACGGTGGGCCACAACATTTTGGGTCATTCTGTCAGTTCAGTCAGTGTTCGGTAATCCTGGGAAAGTCTGATTATTTCCTTTTCTCCACAGCATAGTCACTCTGGCAAAAAAAGTCACAGGTCCCTCTGTAAAAGACTAGGGAAAAAGCTAACGGTATAAATTTTTGGCAGAATAGTGATGTCGTGTCTCAAAAGGGCCCAGCTGGGGCTGGCGCAGTAGGTTAAGCCGCTGCTTGCCATGCGGGCATCCCATATGGGCACCAGTTTTAGTCTCAGCTGCTCTACTTCAGCTCCAGCTCCTTGTTAATGGCCAGGGAAAGCAGCAGAGAATGGCCCAAGCACTTGGCTCCTGGCTCCTACCTGGATCCACCCTGGCCATTGAGGCCATTGAGGGACTGAATTAGCAGATGGATGGTCTCTCTTTAGCTGTTCTTCTTTCTCTCTCTGCAACTCTGCCTTTCAAATAAATAAATCTTTTTTTAAAAACAAGGAGGGGGTTTCAAAAGTCTCCCTTCATTCAAAAAGCTATATCTGTAAAATGACTCATATTTGGGAATTAAGAGAATATCACTGTTTTGGTCATTCAGGTTATACTTCACTTGACTTAGAACTCTTCTGTTTAGGGGCTGGCGCTGTGGCGCAGCGGGTTAAAGCCCTGGCCTGAAGTACCGGCATCCCATATGGGCACCGGTTCTAGTCCCGGCTCCTTCTCTTCTCAACCAGCTCTCTGCTGTGGCCTGGGAAAGCAGTGGAGGACGGCCCAAGTCCTTGGGCCCTGCACCCGCATGGGAGACCAGGAGGAAGCACCTGGCTCCTGGCTTCGGATCAATGCAGCTGCACCCAGAGTAGCCATCTGGGGAGTGAACCAATGGATGGAAGACCTCTCTCTGTCTCACTGTAACTCTCAAATAAATAACATAAATCTTTAAAAAAAAAAAAAAAAAGAACTTCTCTGTTTAAACAGATGAAATCAGAACTCAGCAGATTGTCCATTTAGTTCTCTTTAAGGGACACCATGATCAACCAGCCAAGATTACAGGTCTCAGTGAGCTTAAATAGTTTGCTCCATTATAGTACCATGCCTGCTTAGTTTTTGGTGATGAAGTGCTGCCATCTGGTCCCTCCCACCTGGGATCCAATAACTCCCACTCCATGTAAGGGTTCCCAGTACAGCGGCAGCAGCCCCCACTGTAATTTCTGATCCACACAGAGGAGCACCAATAGTGCCCTTCACAGATTCTAGGGCTCTCCTAAAACATCTGCCTCTCACCATCATGATGAGTTATCAAAGTGTGTCCTCTGCACCCCTGCAGACTGGGTGAGTAGACCTCCTGTGTTAAACCCACCCTAGCATTCTGGTCTCCCTAAGCCTCTGGGGCCCTTCCTCTGCAGTGAACCTCCTGGCACTTCAGCCTCATTCCATGTAGGCTACTTTCTGGTTCATGTTTCAAACACCTGCCAACCAGGCAACCAGATCAACCAACAAAACTGTTAAGAGCGCTCTCTAATTCCTCAAGTCCCAGGACTGACTCCAGAAGCTCTGCTGGATCAGTCGGTTCACCTGCTCCAGCTTCATGTTCCCTCCATGATTACCCCACACCCTTAAAACCCATTCCCAGGCACATTCCCTAGATTTCTGTCTGCATAAATTAAAAAAAAAATGCAGTGTTTTTTTTTTTTTAAAAGGATCCTCCTCATGGATCACACTTTATATCTTACCCTTCAGGATTTGCTGCATTTGAGTCTTGTAGTTCAAGAAGCAAAGAGGAGAAGTGGTATGTCAAGAGAACCGGCAGTGTCTTGCAGGGCAACTAACTCAAGGGGAGTCCTGACAGGTTCTTTAGGCAAGGCAGAGGAAACCTCCTCAAATAGGGGTGGAAGGACTGCTTTTACTTGCAAAACAAGACGAGAGCAGAATTTAGAGGTTTACTATCCCAACCTTCACCAGGATCTGGATCTTCTCATAGGTTCCCTTTTGGAATTTGAGGACCCATTTCTCCTCAGTCAATGCCCTCATTTAAACAGCCTGTACCTTGTGATGCTGGGAATCTATCAGCATTGTAATTCAGTCATTTTCAGGATAAGACTCTGGGTTTGGGTTTCAGCAACCTCCCCTAATCAGCTACGACAAGGTTTCTGTAAGGCAGCCACAGAAATTCTTAGGTGAGTTATATGGAGCTTAAGCTGGGAATCCGAAGCCCTGAGTTCACCCTATTCTGTTCTGGTTTATCCAGCACACTGAGGACCAACCGGCCAATCTCATCAATCTGAGAAAAATGTTCTAGGATCATTCAACCCCTTGCCTTCTCCAGGCATTTGAGCAGGAGTACCGAATGGTGATGCTCTGCATATCTCACTGCCACACCCACACGATGAACACAGTGTTCTCTACCACTGCAGTCAGCAGTGCCTTCAAATCTAACCAGACTGGAAATCCAATCCCAAAAACTGCAGACCAATTCAGAAAATTCATCAAGATTCTTTCCTCTACAGTAACTCTTGGTTTCCAAATCTGAATTAGCCAGGGTTCTGGAGAGATACAACGCCAACTGAATGAAAATATATATAAATATCTACATCTATATGTAGATTTAGAGAGACTGTTATTGAGGGCACTCTCCAAGTCAACTGATTGTGTTAACCAGATCTTCATAATACCATCACAGAAACACCTAAAATCATATTTGATTAAATAAATACTATAGCCTAGCCAAGTTGACATATAAAATTAACCATCACATATAACAAACTTACAGATTTTTCAATCAAATCTTACTTTAAACTATAGGATAAAACCTTTTAAACCTTAAAAAAAAAAGGGTATTTTATGTGCTCTAAAAGACAGTAAAATTTCAGTATGGGTAGTTTGTTGATTGTCCCTCCTAGACTATTTGGAGGAACAATATCAATAAACTACCTCTACTTCCTGCCTAACCAGATCATTATTCTTAGGAAACTGAAACATTGTATCCACATTGAAAAAAAATCTATTACAGGAGGCATGGCATAGTGGCATAACGGGTAAAAGCCGTTTCGTGCAGTGCCAGCATCCCATATGGGTGCTGGTTTGAGTACCCACTGCTCCACTTCCGATCCGGCTCTCTGCTATGGCCTGGGAAAGCAGCAGAAGGCGGCCCAAGTCTTTGGGCCCCTATATTTGTGTGGGAGACCTGGAAGAAGCTACTGGCTCCTGGCTTTGGATCCGTGCAGCTAAGGCCATTGCGGCCAATTGGGGAGTGAACCATTGGATAGAAGACTCTCTCTCTCTCTCTCTCTCTCTCTCTCTCTGCCACTCCTCTCTGTGTAACTCTTGACTTTCAAGTAAAATAAATAAATCTTAAAAAAAAAAAAAGTCAATTACATAATTTGAGAGCAGACAGATGCAGGAGAGAGCTAGCTTCTGTGTGATGGTTGACTCCCCAAATGTCCGCCATGGTCATGGCTGGGCTATGCCAGAGCCTGGAACTCAATCTAGGTCTTCCACGTGTATGCAGGAAGCCATCACCTGTTGCCTCCCAAGATGTGTCTTAACTACTAGGCCAAATGCCTGACCCTGCATTCACATTTAAAAAATAATTTTTATATTTCAAAAATATTTTCATCTTTATAATAGAAACACTTTAATATTACACCTCTTAGAGAAGTGCTCTCATTTCCTTATAAATTAATTGAAATAAGTCCTGTATGCCTTTAAAAAAATTACGAATTAAAAAAATTTCTTGGGGATTCATTCACTCAGTAAGTACCTGGCATGTGCCAGGCATCTGGGTTTAAACATTGAACATGATGGCCCCTGTATTGCTGGAGCTCACATTCCAGCAAGATAACATCCCTTCCCAGCTACCAACTCTCTGTACATAATTACCCCAGCATTATGAAATATCAAAACACTTTCCTAGAACCCCTGTGGCAGGCAGCTTTCAGTTCTGAGTACACCTTCTCAGTGGGCACAGTTTCATTATTAGCACAGATTCTGCACCATGGGTTTACCACCTGACCTTGGACAATTTACTTTGTCATCTGCAAAAAAAAATCATAAATATCCCCACCAGATTATGTAACAACTAAATGAGGGTATAGTCAGTATTAAAGTATCAGCTATATCAATATTTTAATTTTCAGAAAAGCAGAGATTTTTTTGGAAGCAACTAGAGAAAACAACATCAACAGTAACTTTTTAAGAGATTTATTCATTTATTTGAAAGGCAGAGTTAGGGGGAGAGACAGAATCTGGTTCCCTCTACAAATGGCCAGGATGAAACCAGGAACCAGGAATTCCCTCCGGGTCTTCCCCATGGTGGCAGGAACCAAAGCGCTTGGGCCACCTTCTGCTGCTATTCCTAGGAGCAACAGCCCAGTGCTGGATCAGAAGTGGAGCAGCTGGGGCTAGATCCAGCATTTAAATAGGGTGCTGATGTTTGTAGGTGGCAGCTTCACTCTCTGCATTACAACAGCAGCCCCCAACACAAACTTGGAAAACACTTGCATCTGGCTCACTTACTTGATACATTACTGCTTTCAAGTATTCTTTGCCCGTCCTCAATTGATTTTACACGACTTCTATTTAAGTTTCACAAAAACCTAAAGGGATCTCCATATATCCCATTGCGGAGTTTCTATAAACGTGTAATTAAAAGCTTTTAATTTAATGAGAAATTTTTATAAAAGTTGGGGCAGGCGTTTAGCATAGTGGTTAAGACAACACTTCGGACACCAGCATCTCCTATCAGTGTCTGGATTTGAGTCCCAGCTCCACTTCTGATTCCAGCTCCCTGCTAATGCCCATGCTGGGAGGCAGCAGGTGATGGCCCAAGTTCTTGAGTTCCTGCCACCCATTTGAAAGACCCAGATTGGGTTCTGGCTCCTGGCTTTGGCCTGGCCTGGCCCAACCCAGGGTGTTGTGGACATTTGGGGGAGTGAACCAGTGCATGATAGATCTCTGTCTCTCTCTTCTGCCTTTCAAACAGGTATTTTTTAAAAGTGAAAATCAGACTTGTTTTCTCTCAAATTGCAATAGCAATTATTTCATGACTTTTAAGCATCAGAACCAGCAAATACAGGTCACCTAACTGTCTAGTGCTAATGTTTGCATTTGTGAGCAGTACTTCCATTCCCCAGAAACTGGTATCTTTGCAGTTGTCCACACTCATGAACCAAACATATAATGAAAAATATAGGTGCTGATGCTGTGGCATAGCGGGCAAAGCTGCAGTGCTGGCATCCCAAATGGGAGCCTTGTTGCTCCACTTCTGACCCAGCTGTCTGCTGTGGCCTGGGTAAGCAGCAGAGGATGGCCCAATTCCTTGGGCCCCTGCACCCACTTGGGAGATCCTGAAGAAGCTCCTGGCTCCTGGCGTCGGATTAGCACAGCTCTGGCCATTGCAGCCATCTGGGGAGTGAACCAGCAGATGAAGAACTTTCTATTTCTGTCTCTGCCTTGCTGTAACTCTGCCTTTCAAATAAATAAATCTTTAAAAAAAATACAGGCCCATTTATTTGAAATTGATGGCTCATTTTCATGTTAAAAAGAGGCCTCATTCTTGGTTCCAAGTTTATGAAGGGTCAACAACCTCAGAAGGGCTGATGCCTACAATTCTGAAGTGATTAGCCTGGAAGGCATGAAAACAAAGTTTGTGGAAAATGCATATAATTTAAATAACAATGCATAGACTTCCATTTTTTTTTGCACCACCATATACTTTTAATTCCATTTTCCCACAAACTTTATTAAATACTCTTGTACCTACACCAAACGTTGCTTTCCCCAGAACCAAGTCTATGAATTACCGTTGTTGTGCCTAAAAATAAGAAGGCAGACTGGTAAACACATTTTCAAACCTGCTTCTAAAAGAATCAATTTTAGCAAAAAGTATTTCAACATGATCAGTTTTACCCCCTAAGGCGGAGAGGCACTGAGACGCAGCAAAGTAACTAAGTGCTCGCACCAACAATCTATCTTAAGTCTAGCAATACAGAATAACGCTCCCGTCGGTGCTCTCGGGAACAAGTGTGGGCTGCCACCGTCCCCCCAGACAAGCATGGCTCCCCCGGCGGGAGGAACGGCACGGCCTCCCAAATACGGCCACAGGGAACGAGCTGCCAGCCCCCAAGCTCATTCTTAGTGGAGTGTAGACGGCGGACGTTTCCCGGCCCCACGTCCCCTGGCTTCCGACGAGGGGAGGCGCAGCCCGCTGACGGTGAAGGGCTACAGCGCAGCTCCGAAACACTCCCAAAGGCAGGACTTGCCGGAGATACTGGCACGCACGACTAGAGCCAGGGTGACCTCTCTCGGCCTCCGGGGACGGTGGGGCCGGCCAGAGAGGGTGACCTCGTCCCAGCAGGCGCACCCGCACAGCCCGAGGGGCCCCCCACTTGCCGGGCAATTGCCCGGCACGCGCCCCAGGTACTTGCTGACCTCTGGACCCCCGCAGTACAACACAGAAGGCTCCGGCCCAGGTTACCTCTTCGTACGTTGAGGCCGCTGCCACTTCCCGCCGCGCAGGCCGGACCAGGCTTCTCGCAAGCAACGGCCAGGTCACTCGGCGGAGCGACTTGCCTGAGCGGCAATCACGACACCCAACCCGCGATGCTCACGCGGACGCTCACCCCCACCGCCCCTGCCCCCCAGCCGCGCCCACCAGCAATGTGCTCCGCCGTCCGTGCCCGCCCTGCGCGCCCGCTGCACGCCGCGCGCGTGGCACGACGGGACTCGTAGTTCCTGGGTGGGGGACACGAGCCGCTTTCAGCCGGAGCAGCGCCACGTGACTGCGCACTTCCGGAAGTGACGCAACAAGACAGGCGGGCCGAGCAGCCGGCGTTTCCGCAAACAGAATCGTGAATGGTTGAGCTGGTGAGTGTGGCGGCTGGAGCTCAGGCCGTTCTTTGTGTTCAGCCCCTCTGGCTCTGTGTGAGGGGGTGGAAGGGGGGCTCCGAGTTCTGATGGGAATGCTTCCTGTTAGCCTTCTGCTTTCAGGTCCTTTGCGTGGGGTTTGTTGAGAAAAGCAGTCCAAAGAGCTGCTGCTCGTCGTGTCCCAGGGCCGCGCTGAGCGCTGGCCTGGGGGATCCAGTGGGATCCACAGAAGCGTCTGCCTTGGGCGGCGTGTCGGAAGCCCGAGCCGCGACGGAAGGGGCAAGCTTGCCTCGGGAGCACGCCCTCCGGGCCTCCAGGATGGCGGGCTGGCTCACTGATGGGGCCGTGGGGCTTCGGCGGGCGGGCCTGGCGCCCTGCGCTCCGGAGTCTGGAAGGGCGGGCAGAGATAGGCGCGCCTGGAAAGCCGGGTGGACCTGCCGGTCTGGACGCGCTTCGGAGATCCGTGTCCGAGTCGGCGCCGCGCTCCTCTCTGCTCGCTCTGCCGGGTTCTGAGGCACGGCCTGCTCCCACGTGGAGTGTTGTTTTAAGCATTCTTTGCCGTTTCTGCGGCCGCCTGGAATGCAGGGTCGTTTATCCTGGCTAATAGGTTATGGTTCTAGGATAACACGTCTGTGGATGTAGTGGCCCATATAAATAAAATTCACACGTTAACTCCTGAAGTAGTAGTTTTAGGCGATAGCTGAAGCTAAAACTATATGTGGCATAACTTTATTATGAATGTAAAGCGGATTTCTGTTTCCTTTTAGGAAATAACAGAGAGGGAGAAATACGAATTTCATAATTCAGTGGCCGGTTTTATGCAGTTATTCTGAAAATAACCTTTTGGGGTGATTTTCGTTTCGTTTTGTCCTCTAAGTTTGGCATTGCTTGGTATTTTGCAACCTCAAACAGTGGTAGTGAAAGCTAATATCCCTCGAATCCCTCCCAGACTCACCCATATGCTTAAGAAACTTGATTTCTTATTCTTTTTGTTCACATAGAAAGTTTTTTTTTTCTTCATAATTTGCAGGTTCTGAATCTGCTGAATCTCACTAGTTTTTTGTTTTTTTGTTTTTTTTTTTTTGTCTTTGTCTTTTGCTTTCTTTCTCTATTGGATTTGATAAGACAGCCTAACATTTTAACAGGGGTCTGTTATGTTGTAAGCCTCTTGTAGACCTCATTCATATTAAATTCCTCTGTAGCTGGTGGAATGTTGAATGACTTAAGAAGTGGACCATCTTAATAATTCCCAACAGACTGGTCAGTTCCCTTTCCCTTCCATGTTACACAGAGGTCTAAGCGTGTGAGTGTCTGAAAGAGAGTTGCTGGGTATTAAACTAAAGGCTGCCTTGAAATTTGTCCAAAGTCATTTCCACTCTGTTCATTTACTACCTAATTGGACCGGCCCCTCTTCCCCATGAAATAAGGATTTCAGAAATCCTTACTGAAGATTCCCAGGTGTTTTCTGTTCTAAGATACTGTTAGTATTCCTAGGCCAAAGTAGAAAACTGATAATTCCATTTATTAAGTAGCCCAGACATTATAACAAGTACTTATGCCTTAAATTTGTGTTTTAAAAAATTAATATCCATAGATTGGCAGAGATTGTACACCTGTTGGGTGCTGTACAACTTTTCAGGTCTTGAAATGAGATTAGACATCAGCAGCCTAATTTCCTGTTCCACCTAGATGTTCTGTAGTACCCCCAGTCTCAGCCTCACACTTATGATGTCGTCAGAAGCAGTGTGTGCAGTCAGCTGAGTTGAGACTGCACTGCCTGAAGCTGGTGGTTCTTGTGAGATCTACAGTCAGATCTGCTGTGCCTGTCAAAGTGCCCAGCTCATGATTTGGGAACTAAAGCTGTAGAGAAAGAATCACAATACAAATGGAATCAGTACTTATATATTCCCAGCTCATTTTACAGTTTTAATGCCAGTAGTGACTTATCTGAAGAAGACTGCAGAAGTTTTTGGGAATTGTAATTAGTACTACCATATACTTAGAAATTCAAATGTAATATGTATTAGATCCATCATTTGATCTTCTCTCGACAAAGAGATTTTTTTAATTAAAAAAAAAAGATTTATTTATTATTTTAAAGGCAGAGCGAGAGAGATAGAGACCTTCCATCTACTGGTTCACTCCCCAAATGTCCACAGGAGCCTGGAACTCCATCCAGGTCTCCCATGTGGGTGGCAGGGGCCTAACACTCCAGCCATCTTCTGCTGATTTCCAAGTGCTTTAGCAGGGAACTGAATCAGAAGTGGGAAAGTCAGGACTCAGACCAGCGCCCATATGGGATGTGGGTGGTGGATTAAGCCACTCTGCCACGACACTGGCCTCTACAGAGATTTTTTTAAAAACTCATTGATCACTGAAATTAAATAGCTAGGTTCTAGTTAAAAATATTTTAAAGTGTTAGCATTAGTGTTTAACAAGTAATATTAAAATTTTGCCATTCTAGTGTTCATGAAGTTTTATCAATTCAAGTAACCAAAAATGGAAAATTCTACAAACATAGAGGAATGTGAAAAGCTGCCTCTTGAACAGGCAGAATCTTCAGTAAATTCTGAACCAGAATCTTCCCTTAGTGCTGGTGAAAACTCAACAGCTTCTGGCACTGGGCTTTCTGAAAAGACTCTTACCTGTGAGCAGATAGACACATCAAAAAAGAGAAAAGAGTGTGAAGATGATCTTGTAAAGGAAAGCTCCAGTTGTGAGGAAGACACTCCTTCCAAGAAAAGAAAACTTGATGCTGAAATTGCTCCAGAGCAGAAAGGTTCTGGTGACGATGAAAACATTTCAAAGAAAAGAAAAACGGGGACTGATGATGATACACATGAACCTTGCCCTGGAGATGGTGCTCGGAAAAAGAGAAAACTAGAACTTGAAGATGTTCCTGAAAAGCAGAAGGTATGTTGAATGTATTTCTTTTTATTTGCAATACAGTATGTGAAATGGAGATGTGGAGCAGCTCTGGAATTATGTTGAGTTTTACATAATCTTAGAAGCTTTAAGAGTATTCTATTTTTAATACATATAGTTTTATAAAAGAGTAGGTTTTAACTTAATTTTTATTTGAAAGGCAGCATTACAAAGGAGGGAGATACAGAGATCTTCCATCTACTGGTTCATTCTGCAAATGGCCACAATCGTTGGAGTTGGGCCAGGCCAAAGCCAGGAGCTTCTTCCCAGTCTCTCATGCAGTTACAGGGGCCCAAGGACTTGTATCATCTTCCACTGCTTTCCCAGGCACATTAGCAAGAAGCTAGATTGGAGCTAAAGCAGCCGGGACTCAATTGGGCACCCATATGGGATGTTGGCATTGCAGGCTTAACCTGTTACGCCACGGTGGCAGCTCTTTTACTCTTAATTTTTATATAATTGAAACTTCCGGTATTTTTTGTTGTTTTAGAGCACTAACTTGATGAGAAAATTAAAATCCGGTTTTACAGTTTCTGTTTCTTATTGTTTCAGAAAAGTAGGTTGAAGTCCAAATGGTTTAATTTTTTCCTTTTTTATTAGATGTCCATCTCTCTTTCTCTTTTAATTAATTAATTTATTGGAAAGGCAGAGAAAGAGACAAAAAGCTTTTATCAACTGGTTCACTCCCCAAATGCCTGCAACAGCGGGGGGTAGCCTCTGCTAAAGCCAGGAATCTCCTACATGTGTGTCAGGGCCCAAGCATTTGGATCATCTGTTGCCTCTCAGGGTGCCCATTAGCAGGATGCTGGATCTGAAATGGAGGAGATCCCAGAACCCAACCAACACTTCAGTATAGTATGCAGACATCCCAAGCAGTGGCTTGTTGTACTGGATCACAACACCTGCTTTTTATTGCTGCTGTTTGTTTTGTTTTGTTTGCAAGTAGTTAAGATTGTCATTGATAAATGTAAAAATGATACTCATCTTTATATTCCTTTAAATTGAAGTTGTTTCCAACTCTTTAAAAATTTTTTTCAGTCTTTTTTGTTTGTTTGTTTTAAAGATCTGTTTATTTATTTGAGACCCAGTGTGGCAGAGAGAGAGAGAGATCTTGTATCTGCTGATTCATTCCACAACAGCCAGGGCTGGGCCAGGTTGAGGCCAGGAGCCTGGAGCTCCATCCTGGTCTCCCACATGGGTGGCAGGGGCCCAAGTACTTAGCAGATACATCAGCAGGGAGCTGGATGAGAAGCTGAGCAGCCCAGCACTATGATCTGGGATGCGAGTTTGGCAAGCAGCACCTTAACCTGCTGTGGCACAATGCTGGCCCCACCAACTGAAGTTTACATACAGTTTTCTTTAATTGACTACAGAAGCCTGGTGTTTAGCAGGGATATTACAGAGCAAGGGAGAGCAAGTCATTTTCCTCTCAAATACTATTTTAGAAAGGAATTTGGGGGCTGGCGCTGTGGCATAGCTGGTAACGCCAATTCTTGTAGTGCTGGCATACTATATGGGTGCTGGTTCAAGTCCCAGCTGCTCCACTTCCGATCCAGCTCTCTGCTATGGTCTGGGAAAGCAGTGGAAGATGGCCCAAGTCCTTGGGTCCCTGCACCCACGTGGGAGACCCTGAGGAAGCTTCTGGCCCCTGGCTTAGGATCAGTGCAGCTCCAGCTGTTGCGGCCAATTGGGGAGTGAACCAGAGGATAAAAGACCTTTCCCTCTGCCTCTCTTTCTCTCTCTGTGTAACTCTGACTTTCAAATAAATAGATAAATCTTTATAAAAAAAAAGAAAGAAAGTTGAGGTAGAATCTGTAATTGGATGGAAAGAACACTTTAATGAATAGGTGAAATTCTGCCATCAGCCCGGAAGAGGAAACCAGCGGATAGGCCAGGCCTTTACATTGGAGGAGAATGAGTCCTTGTAGCCAGGACTGGGGGCTAGTGTTTTAAACATACTTTTTCAGACTTTTACCAGCAATATATTCCTTTCTCCAAGTGAAAATCTTGTACTTAAACCTGATAGATAAAATAGGTAAGTAAGAGGCACTTTACTGAAAAGGGAGGTGGGAGGGCTCTTAGTGCCCAGGGGGTGGCACAGACTGAAAATTGTTGGATTAGATTAGTAATAGCATGTACTGTTGAATGTAGCCAAATGAGTTCTAACACTTATATTTGTTTAATCTTCAAAATAATTGTATAATAATATGTATCATTATAATTTATTCCTATTTTATTTCCTTAGAGGAACACCATCTACTGACATTTACTGTTTTGAATAAATGAGGATCCTGAAACTGTGGGTTCTATAATGACATTAATACTAAAATTATTCAGATGGAAAGATGAAAATGGAAATTATAAATCTAGAGTTTTTAAAAATAAGAAAATAAGTGTCTGGGAGAATTTAGTGGAGTTTCTGTGGTTGATACCATTGCTTAGTGAAGTTTAACAGTTTCAGTGGCTTCATACATTTACAGGTCAGATGCTCTTATTTTTACCATGTTCTGATCCTTAATTTTATTCCATTCTTTATTTTCAGAACCTAGAGCATGGACATGGCTCAGCAGTAGCTGCCCACTATAATGAACTTCAGGAAGTTGGTTTGGAGAAGCGTAGTCAAAGTCGTATATTTTACCTAAGAAACTTTAATAATTGGATAAAAAGTGCTCTCATTGGTATGACTTTTTTTTTGCCATTTCTTTGTTTAAATTGCTTCATTTTTTTCTCCATACAGCAAGCTCAGAGTCTTACTCATTTAATTAATCAAATCTTGATTAAGGTAGAACTAAAACTTGGCCTTCAATAAATTCTTTTTTTTATTACTTAATTTTATTTGAAAGGCAAAGAGAGATATCTCCCATCTGCTAGCTAACTCTCCACGTGAGTAAAATAGCTCACACTGGGCCAGGCCAAAGTGCCAGGGCATAGGACCTCTGTCTGAATCTCCTACATGGTGGCAAGGCCCCAGGTTCTTGAACCATCACCTGCTGCCTTCCAGAGTACATGTTAGAAGGAAACTAGAATCTGAAACTCAGGCTGGACTCAAACCCAGGCACTAAAATATAATATGCAGACATTCCAAATGCCTGCCTCAGATTATTTTATTATTATTTTTTAAAGATTTACTTATTTATTTGAAAGTCAGAGTTAACACAGTGAGAGGAGAGGCAGAGAGAGAGAGAGATCCTCCATCTTCTTGTTTTACACCCCAGTTGACTGCACAGCTAGAGCTGCACCGATCTGAAGCCAGGAGGCTCTTCCCTGTCTCCCGTGCAGGTGCAGAGGCCCAAGGACTTGGGCCATCTTCCACTGCTTTCCCAGGCCATAGCAGAGAGCTGGAAGGGAAGTGGAGCAGCCAGGTCTCAAACCAGCACCCACATGGGATGCCGGCACCACAGGCAGTGTCTCTACCTGCTACGCCACAGCTCTGGCCCCTCAAATGATTTTTTAAAAGACTTATTTATTTATTTAAAAGCTAGAATTACAGAGATAGAGGGAGAGAAAGAGTGATCTTTGATCCACTGGTTCACTCCCCAAATGGCCTCAATGGCTGGAGCTGGGCCAAGCTGAAACCAGGTTAATTAATGTAATGGCATGTTCAGCCTCCTCCTTGTAAGTTCTCTCTGGACCTTATTCATGCTAATTTGTTTTTAGCTTATCTCTTTCTCATTATCCTCAATAATACAGATATATATATATTTACAATGTATCATTTATTTTTTCATTGGTTATATATTTTAGAGTCATTATTTTTCACATTTTACATGCATTCTGTGATTAAGAAAGAATGTAGATGTTGAAAAGTCTGAAGTCAGACTTAACAAAATGTAATTTCCTTCTTCAGCTGTCCCAGCAACTCTCTCAGTGAGTGGTTTGCTATCTGCAGCTGTCTGCCTGACCCTAATGCAATCAGTCAGGTCTCTGCCAAGCTCCCTTGTTGGCTTTTTCTGTTCTCTTCTCAACACAGTATCCTTCCTTCCTTCCTTCCTTCCTTCCTTCCTTCCTTCCTTCCTTCCTTCCTTCCTTTCTTTCTTTCTTTCTTTCTTTCTTTCTTTCTTTCTTCCTCTCTCTCTTTCTCTCTCTCTCTCTCTCTGGCATTTATAGCTTAGTAAATAGTTTGGGTACAATTTTTGAAGGTGATGAAGGTAACTTTGAAAATAACATAATATATCTTGATTTTGTAATTACTCGTTTTTGCTGTTTTTGGTATTTCTTGTGCCGTTTTCTTAATATTCATGATAGAGAATGAGATATGGAACACTTGTGCTTCTGTTGAACTTATGTTAAGTTCTTGTAGACAGTGAAAGACAGAGACCTAGTATTTGTACTGTTTTCACTGTCAAAATAGTACATGCATGAACTAGAAAGTATTAAACTCAGAATGGTAAGGACAGGGAGATGTGGCTCCAGGATTCAATGTTGTGACAATTTTAAAATTGCTGAATGCTTAAATTGAGAGTTTTAATATCCTTTTAACTAATATGTAAATCATTTGATTGTTGATGTATAGAAATCTAATTATTTATTGGCTACTAATGTGGTTTGATTGATTGAAGTGTTTATGAATTTTAATTATTATAAAACTATAATTTTTTGGTTTCTTGTATTTCTTTTGGTGGTAAGCATGACATTTTTTATGAAAAGTCAAGCACTCTTGTCATTCTGTAACCAACTTGATTTTTTTTAGGTACATGATAACTTAAACACCAAGCTGTGGAAAGAGAAAGCTACAAAAAAGGTTATGAAAATTAGATTTTTGGGGCCGGCACCGTGGCTCACTTGGTTGATCCTCTACCTGAGGCGCCGGCAGCCCATATAGGTGCCGGATTCTGGTCCAGGTTGCTCCTCTTCCAGTCCAGCTCTCTGCTGTGGCTCGGGAGGGCAGTGGGGGATGGCCTGAGTGCTTGGGCCTCTGTGCCCACATGGGAGACCAGGAAGAGGCACCTGGCTCCTGGCTTCAGATCAGTGCAGCCCAGCCTGGTGGCCATTTGGGGAGTGAATGAACGGAAGGAAGACCTTTCTCTCTGTCTCGCTCTCACTGTCTATAACTCTACCTGTCAAATAAAAAAAAAGGAAATGAGATTTTTGCTGGTCATGAAGAAGTGTTGGGTCTTCTTATATTATAGAATGTAGCATATCCTATTTAATATTGAGTGAAATTCTGAAAGCAAACCTTCAAGAAGTTGTCTTAACTTTCTAAAATGTCAGACACAGTTTTTAATCTTTAATGTTGGATCAAGTTAACTAACTCATAGTTGTATTTGGAAACCCTTACCTAGAGTTAGAAATTAACTACATAAATGAATGTGTAATAACATATCACATATCAATCAGGTTAGTAGGTTACTAGAGATAGCAGTTTATGTTTCATAAAATTGATGACATCATTTATTATGACATTTCTCTTTTAGGGGAATTTTTAGAAAAGACTCGACAGAAAAAAAAACGTGAAATTGCTGTTTTGGACCTGGGCTGTGGTAAAGGTGGAGATTTGCTCAAGTGGAAAAAGGGAAGAATTCACAAGCTTGTATGTACTGGTAAGATGAATAATGGTATTAAAAAGAAGAATGTGATCTTAGTCAGGATACTGTAAAAATGAGAAAATTCTCTTTGTCAACCTAGTGCTAGACTATGCCGTGGCAAGATATCTGAGGACTACAGAGGAGATGAGTGTTTGCGAACGTCATTTGTAAGACCTTCCTGATGGCTTTGTAGTATGGTTAATGAGCACGGAATAGCTTGTCCTTTTGTAAAGGAAGGAAACCGTCAAAGGTAGTCAAAATCATTTAGAAGGGACAGAATTGGACGTTTCCGTTGGGCAAGATAGGTCAATTTGAACATCAAAAACAGTAGTGGTTAAACCGTTCAAATAGAGGGGAGAACCTTCATTGTTCACCCTTGGAGGTTGCTAAGAAGCTTACTATTCTGAAACTCATAGAATAACTGCAAGGGTCAAACATTTTCTTACCTCTCTAATATGAGCAGAATTTTAAGGTAAGCAGATAGTTTAAAGGGAAATTCCTTTTAAAAAAATTACAGCAGATACATGAAAGAGGAAAAACAGTACTTCATTCAGTACTGTTTTTTTCACCCTTGATGAAATACTAGACCCTGGCAGCAACCTTTTTTTTTTTTTTTTTTTAAGACAGGCAGTTAGTGAGAGAAAGAGACAGAGAAAGGTCTTCCTTTTCCGTTGGTTCACCCCGCAAATGGCTGCTGCAGCCGGCGCACTGTGCCAATCCGAAGCCAGGAGCCAAGTGATTCCTTCTTGTCTCCAATGCGGGTGTAGGGCCCAAGCACTTGAACCATTTTCCACCCTGCTAGCAATCTTAAAGAGACTGAAACTGTTAGGTAAAAGATTGACAGGAACTTTATAAATGAATACACCTGAGCCCAGCCTTTGGTCTTCACTCTGAAGAGGGAGAAGCAGACCTCATGTTCTTTCTGATGAGACCAGTTAAAGGGGGTAAAACAGCAATCCTTCTGAAGTATTTCCTAAATCGGCAGTTCTCAAGTTTTTCATTGATGAGCTCTGACCCAGCAAGGCTGTTACGAGCTAATAGCCATTGATATTTACACATTAGAAATCAAAGCTCTGAGATGTTAAAAGATACTGAATTCAAAATAACAGAGTGAAGACTGGTTTGCTTTTTTTCTTTGTTTTTCACATTTTTGCAAATCCCTTTAGAGTCTGGAATAATAGGAAACTTCTAGATTCTCAAACTTGTTTTTTTCTCTTTAATATTTATTTTATTTGTTTGAAAGATAGAGTTACAAAGAGAGGTAGAGACAGAGATAAGGGTCTTCCATCTGCTGGTTCACTCCCTAAAAGGCTGCAACAACCAAGGGTGGTCCAGGCCTAAGCCAGGAGCCAGGAGCTTCTTTCAGGTCTCCCATGTGGGTACAGGGTCCCAAGCACTTGGGCTATCCTCCACTGCTTTCTCAGGCACATTAGCAGGGAGCAAGATTGGAAGTGGAACAGCCAGGACATGAGCTGGCCCCATCAAACCTTTTTCTGTATTCAGTATGTTATTTTGATTAAGTGCTTGCAAAACAAAGGAATATTTCAATAATCTTTACAGAGAATAGTGGACATTTTTGGCACAAAACTCAAATCAGTGACAGTTCCATAAAGGTTAGTTATAAGATGATCTTTTTTACTTTGTTATATTAAAAATCTGCTGGTCTATCTTACATTTCATGGTTTTGTAATATTTAGAAAATACAGTTCACTAAAGTTATGCAGATCTTCCAACTGTTGACACCAAGAAATAACATTTGTTTAATGTTATCACTAATCAGAAAATCTAAATATTGGGAATATGTCCAACCCTTTGTGGTTGATAGAATGTTCTCAGAGTTGTAATTTTCACTTGAAAGTTAAATTTTGCCCTTGGCCACAAATACAGTTTGTTTTTTTCCTTGATAGGGTCATTGTTCATTTTCAAGAAAATACATACCAAGTGCTCAAGTCTGAATAGCCATTTCAAGTCAAAATGAGTTTCCCCAAAAATGTGGTCAGTGCAGCTCACAACTGAAAACACTCAAATCAGTGCTATCTTTAAGAAGGCCATCAAACTTTGTTATGTAGCAGAAATCTTTTTGTTACTTCCTGTTATATCACACAAGATTTTTTTAAGTGTGTTTAAGAGGGGGCTGGTGCTGTGGTGTAGTGGGCTGAGTCTCCACTTGTGGTGCCGGCAACCCAATGAGTGCCAGTTTGTGTCCCTGCTGCTCCTCTTTGATCCAGCTCTCTGCTGTGGCCTGGGAAAGCAGTAGAAGATGGCCCAAGTCCTTGGGTCCCTGCACCTGTGTTGGGAGATCCAGAGGAAGTTCCTGGCTCCTGGCTTTGGGTCAGCACTCCATCTGTTGTGACCTTTAGGGAGTGAACCAGGAGATGGAAGACCTTTCTGTCTCTTCCTCTCTTTGTCTGTAACTCTACCTCTCAAATAAATAAATCTTTTTAAAAAATTTATGTTAAAGAACTAAAATTTAGGCTAGCGCTGCGTCTTACTAGGCTCATCCTCCACCTTGTGGCACCGGCACACTGGGTTCTAGTCCCGGGCGGGGTGCCAGATTCTGTCCCAGTTGCCCCTCTTCCAGGCCAGCTCTCTGCTATGGCCAGGGAGTGCAGTGGTGGATGGCCCAAGTACTTGGGCCCTGCACCCCATGGGAGTGCCAGGATAAGTAGCTGGATCCTGCCTTCGGATCAGCGCGGTGCGCCGGTCGCAGTATGCTGGCCGCGGCGGCCATTGGAGGGTGAACCAACGGCAAAGGAAGACCTTTGTCTCTCTCTCTCTCTCTCTCTCACTGTCCACTCTGCCTGTCCAAAAAAAAAAAAACCGACTAAAATTTAATCAAATAAGATTTTGCTGCTTTATTAAGGATATTCTTATATGAAACTGACTCCTATATCCCCCATTAGTGTATAGTGGTGAAGAATATGTGAAGTATTCCCCATACCGCTCAGTGCCTCTACATTGTATTCTTGGTAAGGAGCCAGAATTTTACCTACTGTTGCACCTCTCAAAATAGGGAAAAGAGCAGGTGACATTTTATTATGAAAATAGAAACTTGGCTTTTCCAAAAGTTGCTTTATCTATAGTGTTAAATTTTAGAATTCAGGCTGGCGCCGCGCCTCACTAGGCTAATCCTCCGCCTGCAGCGCTGGCACCCCGGTTCTAATCCTGGTTGGGGCACTGGTTCTGTCCTGGTTGCCCCTCTTCCAGTCCAGCTCTCTGCTGTGGCCTGGGAGTGCAGTGGAGGATGGCCCAAGTCTTTGGGCCCTGCACCCACATGGGAGACCAGGAGAAAGCACCTGGCTCCTGGCTTCGGATCGGTGCAGCACATCGGCCATAGCCATCTGGGAGGTGAACCAACGGAAGGAAGACCTTTCTCTGTCTCTCTCTCACTGTCTAACTCTGCCTGTCCAAAAAACAAAAACAATTTAGAATTCAAACTGGAGTCCACACTTTGTGATTGGATCATCATGTTTAGATCATGACAGTACTTTTATGGAATTTATAAGAGAAAGCTTTGAGTTCTTTTTGAAAAATAGGGCATTTGTATGAGAACAAAGACTTTTTATTTTGTTTTAAAGGAAATGGATCCTTTTTGTTGCTACTAAAGCTGAATTTCCTGCCCAAGTTTGTCAGTTGAAATCAATGTCTAGGTTAGTACCATTGCATACAGACTGTTACTAACACCCTTCCACCCTTCCAGATATTGCTGACGTTTCTGTCAAACAATGTCAGCAGCGTTATGAGGACATGAAGAGTCGTCGTGATGGTGAATCTCTTTTCAATGCAGAATTTATTACTGCTGACTGTTCAAAGGTATGGATATTTTCTTGTATATGGGTTTTTCCTTTTTATTTTAATGTTGGTCAGTTGGTTTTTTACATTTTTTGTTCAGATAAATGATACATTAAAACTTACAACATGCATTTTCAGTTTCTGCTAGGAATTCCATTATGATAAATTTCCTTAAATGAGTGAATACTTCTGGAAATTTTTGGCTTTAATAATTTGTTGTGTCACCTGTTGCTTTTTTGTTCAGACAAGATTTAATTTCTAGTGTAGTCATCTCTTGGTACTCTCAGGAAACTGTTTTAGGACAAAATCCAATGATGCACAAGATGCACAAATCCCTTCCTTATATGATATGGCATAATATTTGCATATAACCTGCTCTCACAGACTTCATAGCATCTCTAAATATTAAAGCACTTAATACATTGTGAATGCTATTTAAATAATTGTTACTCTGTATTGTTTAGAGAATAATGACCCAAAAAATCTAAATTCAGTACAAATGCTTTTTTTTTTTTTTTTTTAATATCTTGCTCTGTGATGGTTGCAGAACCTGTGGCTGTGGAGGGCCAGCTGTGTTTTGAAGTAGAACTGAACTTAGTTTTGTTCACATTGTAATTTATTAGGATAGTTTTACAACATAGCAAAGGCTGTTTGCTTTTTCCACCTTCCACCTCAGTTATGAAGTTTTAAAGAATTCCAGAGGCATTTGAGGTAAAAGTCTCAATTTGAATTATGTCTGACTTTTTAGCTTTATTAAATTATTATAGTTACTTCAGTTGTACATATTTTGTGTGTAGCTTTCAAAATAAGAAAGGTGGTAGCATATTGCCATAAAGTTGGAAACCTTTAAAACACTTCTGCATTTTTATAAAATGCCAAAAGCTAGATATCTTTTTTTAGCCTAAGCTATTGTTGAAGGGCATTTTACTTTCTCAAGTGAAGCCAAGAAAGGATCAGCTGTGAATGTCATATTTGATTGATATGTTTTTAAACATCGTGTCGGAATCCTTTAGTTTTTAAATTACTATGAAAATAGAATTCAGATTGTTTTGTTAAAACAGGATAAAGAATGATTTCTTAGGTGCAGAAATTTGGTGAAGTGGTTAAGATACCACTTGGGACGCTTGCATCCGGGTTGTAGTGTATGGGTTTGAGCTCTTCCCATTCCAGCTTCCTTCTAATGTGCACCCTTCGGGGCAGCAGGTGATGACATGAGTACTTGGTTCACTACCACCCACTTGGGAGACACAGATTGAATTCCTGGCTTCTGGCTTCAGCCTGGCCCAGCCTTGGCCATTGTGGGCATTTGGAGGGGTAAATCAGTGAATGAAAGATCCATATCTCCCTTTCTCCCCACCTTCCCCCTTCCTCCCTCCTCTCTCTCCCTCTATCTCAAGTAAAATCAAAAAATTTTTTAAAGAGAATTCTTTCTGGGGCCGGCGCCGCAGCTCAATAGGCTAATCCTCCTCCTGCGGCGCCGGCACACTGGGTTCTAGTCCCTTTTGGGGCGCCGGATTCTGTCCCGGTTGCCCCTCTTTCAGTCCAGCTCTCTGCTGTGGCCTGGGGGTGCAGTGGAGGATGGCCCAGGTGCTTGGGCCCTGCACCCACATGGGAGACAAGAAGGAAGCACCTGGCTCCTGGCTTCAAATCAGCACAGTGCGCCAGCTGCAGCGCACTGGCCGCTGTAGCCATTGGAGGGTGAACCAACAGTAAAGGAAGACCTTTCTCTCTGTCTGTCTCTCTCACTGTCCACTCTGCCTGTCAAAATAAATAAATAAATAAATAAATAAATAAATAAATTCTTTCTGGCTTTTATTATGTGTAAGGAGGGAAAGCACAAGTTGCAGATCATGAGGAAAAGGATACATTGGTGTCAGGATATATCTAAATTTTAAAAAATTAATTTGGTAAAAACGTTTTAGTCTACGTTGCAAAATCTTAACCCCTTTTAATTTGTTTCAGGAACTTTTGATTGAGAAACTTCGTGATCCAGAAATGCACTTTGACATCTGCAGTTGTCAATTTGTCTGTCATTACTCATTTGAGTCCTACAAGCAGGCTGACATGTTGCTTAGAAATGCTTGTGAGAGGCTTAGCCCTGGAGGCTATTTTATTGGTACCACTCCTAATAGCTTTGAACTGATGTAAGTAGTTTTCAATGTATTGTGGTTTACAAAGTATTCATTATTAAGCTGACAATATCAAGAAGCAAATGCTGATCAGATATAGAGTATATAAAACATGCTGTGTTAGCCTCAATAAGTGCTGAGCACTTTGATATTGTATTGGAGTAGATATTCACAGTTTAAGTTCAAAAGACAGATTTACAGATGAGCTTTAAAAACCCATTTATATAATTTAGAGACTGAGGTTATGTTGAGGAGGAGGAGGATATATTGGTAGACAAACTGCAGGTCAGATACCAAGGCCCATAAACTTAACCAGTTGTTACAAAGTGATACCTGTTTCTAGTTTAGCTTTGTTGGTGAGACATTGTTTCTTTTAAGTAGCTCAAAGTGTATTATTTTCTAAACCTAGCTCAAATCAAAGTATATTATTTCTTAAAAATAGCTCAAATTCAATTAGGAAACTAATTAAATATCTTAAAATTGTATTATGCATTTTTTTCACTTATAATCTGATCAAACTATTTATTCACAGTTTTAATCTTTTATTTTGGTTGTGTGATAACCCTGACAGAAAACGCCTTGAAACATCAGAAACAGAATCATTTGGAAATGAAATATATACGGTGAAATTTCAGAAGAAAGGAGATTATCCCTTATTTGGCTGCAAATATGACTTCAACTTGGAAGGTGTTGTGGATGTCCCTGAATTCTTGGTCTATTTTCCATTGCTAAATGAGTAAGATTGTTACTTACCTGTTACTGTTCTCTTTTTGTCTTAAGAGAAAAAGAAAAAGGGATGGGGATTAATACTTCCAGTCAATTCATTTTTAAAGTGAGACCCTGAGGCATATATCCCTTGTAAAAAACAGACTGTGCCTAAGTCCCGGGATTGGTGCTGTAAGTCTCTTACAGCCACCCTTGTTCATTCATCTGTCATTGCTGGGTGAGAAAAGGAGCCAACTGCCTCCCTTGTGATAGAAAAATACGTGACATTGTTCAAGTAGCAAACATTTTTGTGTGACTGCTAATCAATTCTGTAATATAAAGTGCATTTTCATAAATCAGAAGATCTTCCTTTTGATATGATAGGTATTAAAGTTATTTACATCTCACTATGGGTTTGAAATTACCTATGTCTCACAGGCTGTGTTGATAATAACATCTTGATTCAGGAATGGATTCCCCTTGGAAATTCCTCCTGAATTCTAGGAGTCCTGCAAACTAAAGAGAGGACAAGTCAAGGGATGCAGGACTTATGAGGTCAGACTGCAAGGCCTTGCTGCGCACCTGGGTCTCAGGTTTCCCAGATTAGGAGAGGATGAAAATGAACTGTGAATTGTATACCATGTCACTTTTGACTGAATTTGATTTGCTATTTTTTATTTTATCATTATTATTTATTTGAAAGGCAGAGTTACAGAGGTGGAGTGGGGGGAGATCTTACATCTGCTGGTTCACTCCCAAATGGCCACAACAGCCGGGGCTGGGCCAGGATGAAGCTAGGAGCCAGGAACTTCATCCAGGTCTCTGTGCGGGTGAAGGGCCCAAATGCTTGAGCCATTTCTTCTGCTTTCCCAGGTACATTGGAAGCGAGCTCCATCAGAAGTAGAGCAGCCAGGAGTCTCTGGTACCCCTATGGGATGCTGGCATCACAAGTGGCAGCTTAACCCAATATACCACAACACTAGCTCCTGATTTACTGTTTTTTTAATAGTCTTTTATTTTGAATAATAACTAAGAAAAGGCTGTATTACCTATTTATTTTTGGCTGGTGATTATTTGAATTATGATTCAGTTTGTAAAATTATGAGTATAGGATTTTCAGGAATTCTTAAATACTAATTTCATACAGTAACACAGGAAAGTCAGTAGTGTGACTGAACATGAGGAAAATAATATGAACACTTTTATAAACTAAATTTTTTATTAAAATTAGTGAATGTGGGCTATATGTTAGTGCTTTTCAACCTTCAAAAGAAGAAATTAAAAAAATTGTTTTTAGTATGTTTTGTTGGTGTAGTATGTTAGCTTGGTGTTTTTGGTTAACAAAGTTGGTAATTTTAGGAAACCCAAAGAGACAAAGTATAAAGCAAAAGTTTTAAATACTAAGCAGGCACTGGCAGTCTTTTCTACTTAATTCCTTATTGATGATAAATCCAGTATGCTACAATTCATCACTTCAAAAAAATATTGTAACAGTTTTGGTGAAGTGAAATCTGAAATTGGATAGGGGTTTTATATCCTTTTGCCATCTCATTAAGGAACTGAACAAAAATACAGTTAGCTTTTATATGGTAGAACCCTATTCAAAGTGGCCAAATTGGGTTTAGTCGTTTGTAATTATAGTTTTTTAGGTGTAAAATCTGGATTTATTTCCAAAGACATATTTTGAAGATTCATGATAGAAAATGAATTACCTGCAGTAAAAAAGATTTATCTTTGCTCATTTAGGGAGATCTGATTCGAGCAACTGAGAATCCTGTTTTTATATATGCCTCTAAGTCCCAGTGGCCACTGGTGTTTCTCTTTCCCTATCCCATCAGTATTAATACTCTAAAATTTAGAAGTTTGTTAATAAAGAAACTGGCAAAACAAAGAAGCAGCCTAAGGTGTATGGTAAAAATGAGACGAGTTTTGAGGCAGGTTTTGGCACAGCAGTTGGGATAACACACCCCACTTTGGAGTGCTTGAGTTCGAGGCCCAGCTCCACTTCTCATTCCAGCTTCCTTCTCATGTGCACCCTGCAAGGCAGCAGGTGATGGCTGAAGTACTTGTATCCCTGCCATCCATCTGGGAGACCTGAACTGAATTCCCAGCTTCTGGTTTAGGCCTGGCCAGTCTCTGACTTTTGTAGGCATTTGAAAAGTGAACAAGGGATGGGAGCTAGCTTGATCAGTCTCTCTCTGCTTTCAAATGAATAAATTTGAAAAATAATTGACAAAAAATCCAGGAGATTAAAGTGAATCTTTTAAGAATGAGGTTGGCGGCCCTTTTTAATGCTGCTATGAAGGATCAAATAAAATAAAATGGAATCAGTACAAAACTGTTCTCTTTAGCTCTTTTTCCCCATCTCACAGCCCTTGAAATACTTTTTTACTCATGACCTATTTGGTAGCTAATAGAGCTGTCTGTAATTTAGAATGTATATTTCTTTACAGGCGTGGTTGTTGCTATGTTACTCTTAATTTGTTTTGCATTACTCTCGGAATTCATGGAGGAAATGATAGCTTTTTAGTTTCAGCCCAGAAGATGTCACTGTTGTACAAAAATGAAGAATTACAAACATTTTAGAATCCTTTTCATTAAGTAATCTTTTCTGGACAGAATGGTGAAGAAGTATAATATGAAGCTAGTCTACAAAAAAACATTTCTGGAATTTTATGAAGAAAAGATTAAGAACAATGAAAATAAAATGCTGTTGAAACGAATGCAGGCTCTAGAGGTAAGTCCTTGAAAAGTTATAAAAAAATCCCAAGAACTTGTTTGGCTGTTTTTGAGATCTTTTCAGAGCCATATAGACACCATAGTGTGTGAGGCATCTTCGGAATGTTTGTGAAAAATGTGTGTTATGGAAAAATGTGCATGGTTTTCAAATAATTTTTTGTACCAAAATAAACTTGTACTAACTTGCTATAACAAGTCTGAACAGGATCTGGTTTGAGAAGGATAAGGCATGAGTTTGGAAAGAGCCCCTATCAGGGCAAAACGAGTTCTACAATTGAAGCAAGAACAAGCATCAAGTTATTGTAGAACTTAGGTGAAAGAATAATGAAATAGTTGATGCTTTACAAAAGGCTTATGGGGACAGTGCCTCAAAGAAATCAGTAATTTATTAATGGATAATGCATTTTAAGGAAGACTGAGGGGCCAGCATGTGGCACTGCTGATTGAGGCACTTTCTACAATGCTGGCATCTCATATGGGCACTGATTTGAGACCCAGCTGCCCCACTTTTGATCCAGCTCCTTGCTAATGCATCTGGGAAAGCAGCGGAAGATGGCCCAAGTACTTGGGCCCCTGCCACCCACATGGATGGAGTTGCTGGTTCCTGGCTTTGGCTTGGCCATTGTGGCCATTTGGGGAGTGAACCAGTAGATAGAAGATTTTTCTCCGTCCAACTCTGCCTTGCAAATAAATGAAATCCATTTTTTTTTTTTTTTTAAGAAAAAGGAGGACTGAGACTTTTGAAGGTGAAGCCTGCAGCTGCTGACCACCCATATCAATTTGTGAGGAAAAACTTAATCTTGTTTATGCCATAATTAAAGAGGACCAGTGATCAGTAACAGCAGAAACAGTAGCCAACACTATAGATACCTTAGTTGCTTCAGCTTACACAATTGTGACTGAGAAAGTAGAGCAGACACTGTTCCCTGAATACAAAACTGTTGGGATACAGAGATCAGCTACAGACAAGAAAAAACTTTTAAAGGAACTTTAAACAAATAGGATGACGATCCTGAAGGATTTCTATGAAGAACTGCAATGGAGATGAAACATAATTTTAACAATATGATTTTTGTCTTGAAGACAAAGCCCAATCAAAGCAGTAGATACCAAGAGGTAGAAGAAATTCAGTGAAGAGAAACATGGACCAATTGGAGCAAAGGTCATGGTAGAAATTCTGGGAAATGCTCAAGACATTTTGCTTGTTGACTTTTTGGAGGGCCAAAGACCAGTTAACATTTGCTCATTAGGGAGAATTTTTGAGAAATTTACCTAAAACATTAGCAAAAATAACCTGGGAAAGCTCTACCAGGATCCTTCTCAACCACTGCAATGCTTCTGCTCATTCCTCTTAAAATAAGAGCACTTTTGCAAGAATTTTGCTGGGAAATCTTAGGCATCCACCTCAAAGTCCTGATTTGGCTCCTTCAAACTTCTCTTCTTTTTTTTTTTTTTTTTTTTTTTTTTTTTTAAGATTTATTTGCAGGTAGATTTACAGAAAGAGAAGGGGAGACAGACAGAAAGAGATCTTCCATCTGTTGGTTTACTCTCCACATGACTGCAATAGCAAGGGCTGGACCAGGCTGATGCCAGGAGCCTGGAGCTTCATCTAAGTCTCCCACATGGGTACAGGGGCCCAAGTGTTAGGCCATTTTCTGCTTTCCCAGTCACATAAGGAGGGAACTGGTTTGGAAAAGGAGCAGTTAGGACTTGAACCAATGCCCATATGGGATACTGGTGTCGCAGGCAGTGGCTTAATCTGCTGTGCTACAATGCCATCCTATTTCCTGCTCTTAAGGGACCTCTAAAGGTCCCATTTTTCTTTAGTTAAAATTGTAAAACACAGCATTGACATAGTTAAGTTCCCAGACCTTTTAGTTCTTTAGGGATGGTCTAAATGACATATAACATTATTTAACAAAACTGTCGTGAACTTGGTGAAGCTTGTATTAAAAAATAAAACTTATTTTAAATCTTTATTATTTGTCTTTTAATTCTATTTTTCACAAACTTTTTTTTAATTTTTTTTTATTTTTTTATTTTTTTATTTTTGACAGGCAGAGTGGACAGTGAGAGAGAGAGAGACAGAGAGAAAGGTCTTCCTTTGCCATTGGTTCACCCTCCAATGGCCGCCACTGCAGCCGGCGCACCGCGCTGATCTGATGGCAGGAGCCAGGATCCTGGTGCTTTTCCTGGTCTCCCATGGGGTGCAGGGCCCAAGCACCTGGGCCATCCTCCACTGCACTCCCTGGCCATAGCAGAGAGCTGGCCTGGAAGAGGGGCAACCGGGACAGAATCCGGCGCCCCGACCGGGACTAGAACCTGGTGTGCCGGCGCCGCAAGGTGGAGGATTAGCCTATTGAGCCACGGCGCTGGCCCCACAAACTTTTTGATGTCCCCTTATATTATGCAGATTATTTATAACTACTCTAGATTTCAGCAGCTAGGACAGAACTTGAAACAGGTACTTCCTGTGGAGGGTGCTCAATAAATATTTGCTTTGGGGTCCGCACTGTGGCATAGCAGGTAAAGCCGCTTCCTGCATTGCCAGCATCCCATATGGGCATCAGTCGAGTCCCAACTGCTCCACTTCTGATCCAGCTCCCTGCTAATGTGCCTGGGAAAGCAGTGGAAGATGGCCCAAGTCCTTGAGCCCCTGCACCAATGTGGGAAACTGGGAAGAAGCTCTAGACTTCTGGCTTCGGAAAGGCTTCAACCACTGTGGTCATTTGGGAAGTGAACCAGCAAATAGAAGACCTCTCTCTCTCTGCCCCTGCATCTGCCTCTCTGTACAACTCTGCCTTTCAAATAAATAAATCTTTTTAAAAAAGATGCTTATACCTGAATGAATAATGTGGCTTTCAAGTTCTCTTTTCTAGATAGTACTGCTTTAAAATAGGATTTATTCTTTTTTTTTTTTTTTCCCCTAAGATTTATTGAAAGAGTTGCAGGGAGAGAGGGAGAGGAGAGATAGAGTTCTTCCATCTGCTGGTCCATTCCCCAAATAGCTGCAATGGCCGAGGCTGAGTCAGGCTGGAGACGGGAGCAAAGAGCTTCATCCTGGTCTCCCAAGTAGATGTAAGGGCCCAGGTCCTTGGTCCAACATTACTCTGCTTTCCCAAGCACATTAGCAGGGAACTGGATGGGAAGTAGAACAACCAGGACTTGAACCAGTGCTCATATGGGGATGCTGGTATTGCAGACAGTGGTTTAGCTGGTTACATCACAATGCAAACCCTTAAAATAGGATTTCTTGGGGCCAGCAGTGTGGCACAGCAGGTTAAGATGCCGTCTGCAGTGCCTGCATCCCGTGTGGGCGTTGGTTCGTGTTAAAGCTGTTCTGCCTCTGATCCAGCTCCCTACTAATGCACCTGAGAAAGCAGCAAAGATGGCCCAAGTCCCTGGGCCCCTGCACCCATGCGGGAGACCCGGAAGAAGCTCCTGACTTCCTCCTGACCCAGCCCTGGCTATTGCGGCCATTTAGGGAGTGAAACCGGATGGAAGATTGTTCTCTCTCTCTCTCTCTCTCAACTCAGACTTTCAAATAAATAAATAAATCTTTAAAGAACACACATACACACACAAAATAGGATTTCTTAACCTTGGAACTCTTGACATTGTGAGTGGGATAATTCTTTGTTGGGAAACACTATTCTGTGCAGTATAGGATATTCAGTGGTATCACTGACTACCCACTAGATGCCTGCTAGTAGCAGCACAGTACCCAACTATTATGAGCAAATATTCCCTATTGAGGAATTTTTTCAGTTGATAAGCACTTGTTTATTAAAGATTTATTTATAGGCCAGAGCTGTGGCCTACTAGTAGGTAAAGCTGCCACTTGTGGTGCCAGAATCCCATATGAGCATCAGTTCGAGTCCCGGCTGCTCCACTTCTGATCCAGCTCCCTGCTAATGTGCCTAGGGAAAAGTAGCACTCACACACCTGAAAAGGAGACTTGAAAGAAGATCTTAGCTCCTAGCTTCAGTCAGTTCCAGCTCCAGCTGTTAGGGCCATTTGGGCAGTGAACCAGTGGATGGAAGATTTCTCTCTCTCTCTCTCTCATACATCTTAAAATTATTTATTTATTTGAAAGAGTTAAAGAGATCTTCCATCTGCTGGTTCACTCCCCAAATGGCCACAGTGTTTGGAGCTGGGTGGATCAGAAGCCAGGGCTTCCAGGGGCCCAGGTACATGGGCCACCTTCTGCAGCTTTCCCAGGCACATTAGCAGGGAGCTGGATTGGAAGTGGAGCAGCTGGGACTTGAGCCAGCACTGATATGGGATGCTGGCACCACAGGCCCCGATAGATACTTCTTTACAATGACCTGTGGTTACATCAGTAATTTAGAACCTTCTTGACCAGAGCCCAAGACAAGCTCTTACCAAGTGACTATCTAGTGAGATCCCAGTTTTCTAGATTACAGTAGCATCACCCCCTTAACTGAAGTTTTGCTTTCTGTAGTTTTATTTGCCTCTGGTCAGCTATGGTCTAGCAAGCAAATGTAGTATAATAAAATATTTCGAGAGTGAGACCACCTAGTTTTTATTAGTTTATTTTTTAATTGAGGGGCTGTTTAGTGGAAACAATATGTTATTTGTTGATCTTTTTCTATTAGTGATTGTTATTAATTTCTTACTGTGCCTGATTTGTAAATTAACCTTTGTCATAGGTATGTATGTATAGGAAAAAAACATAGTATATATAGGGTTGGTACTGTCTTTGGTTTCTAGGCATCTATTGCAGGGTCTGGAAAATGCATCCTCAGCAAATAAAGGGGGGCTGTCTGTGGTAGCTGAGACCTGTTCTCCTGCTGAGATCCTGTGTGTTCCCAGTGCAGCAGGGAGGGCAGTCTGTATAATCCTTAAGTGTACTGGACAGCCATCGATAGTTTTTCCTTTATCAGTGTTTCATTTGATGAGTTTTTTTTGTTGTTGTTATTGTTGTTAATCAGCAGAATCATTTGTATCAATTGGGCATTAAACTTCAGAGAGTTCATTCAATTTAGAATAATCAGATTTTCTTCAGTTTTTCTAGGTAACACCCAAACAAAAATGTCCTGTGGAAGTTGTATCCATAGCCCTCCCACACAATTTTGAATTTTTTTAAATTCTTAAGTTGTCTTTTGAAATCCATAATCAAGAAAATGTTGTTCTTTATATTTCCTGTATGTTAGAAATACTTTTATTTGCTGTACCTTAGGAAGTGGGTCTCGTTTGTCTCGAGAGGAGAAAGCTAGAAAGTCTGTTCACATCTGCATGTAAACACACACCTTAAGTGCATTACCTCAGTTGCTGCTTTGCATGCACAATGATGAGTTATCTAGACTTTCTCTCAGCATATAAATAATGAATTTGTTTATATAACTTATTTAAAGCTGTCCTTAGATAGTTGGATATGGGATAACAGGATCTCCTTCTTTCAAGGATCTTATGGTATGTTGAGACCATAAACATACAAGCAAATTAATTCAGTACAATGTGAGGGTTGCAATAATGAAGAAACATTCCAAATGCATTGAGTGTAATAGGGCCTTCTGGGAAAGAAGCAGACTGTAAGAGTAAAGGCAGAGAAGCATGATATGGAGCAGTAGATGCTTGAGGAGGTACCAATAACTTTCATATTGCTTTAGCATAGTTGCTTCTTGCCCAGAGCTGCCATTGGTAATGTGAGTTACTACTATCGCTGTTTGGCATCATGAGCAGTAATACCATATAGCACCTTGAATTCCTTTGTATTTTTTCCTACTGCTTGACCAAGTCACATCTGTGGCCTGCCATGAACTTGGAGCAGAAGGGGATGTGGGCTGACAAGAGTTAGGATGGCATTACGGAAGACCATTTGGAGGGACACGTCCCAGAGGTAGAGGGAGTGTCAGCATGCTACTGCTTTAGTGCCAGGCAGAGATAGAAGCAGTTCTAGTCCTTCATACTCTCCATAGGGAACTTTTTCCTAAAGTGTTTGGCCTTTAGCTGGCCAGGGTTTCAGCACTCTAATCAATCAGACTTTGCTCTGCTTTCCTGGATCATTGCATCAGGGAGAAGAAGGCTGGAAAGATGTAGGTCATGGAGCAAAACTGTGATTATGAAGTCCTTATACCTATCTTGTTTTCACCAATGAATTTACCCCTGAGAGCAGTTTTGGAAAAGTAACTTCTAGAGGAGACTCTGGGATATATAGTATACCTTTCAGTAAGTTTATTTATTTATTTATCTGGAAGGCAGAGTTATAGAGAGATCTTCCATCTGCTGGTTCACTTCCCAAATGGCTGCAATGGCCAGGGCTGGGCCAGGCCAAACCCAGGAGCCAGGAACTTCTTCCAGGTCTCCCATGTATGTGGCAGGGGCCCAAAGACTGGGGTCATCCTGTGCTGCCTTCTAGACACATTCGCAGGGAGCTAGATTGGAAGTGGGGCTGCTGGAACGTGGACCAGCGCCCATATGGGATGCCTGTAGGCAGGAGCTTAACCCGCTGTGCCACAGCACCCGCAGTATGTGGTATTGAAGTTTAAAAACCAGTTGATTATCTCTTGTGCTAAGCTGTAGAAGTGTAAGTAGCCAGTGCTAATGATGCATAGTCTTAGAAAGCTGAGTGCTTTCTAATCAAATAGCATGATTTCTAATGTCTGTGAATGTTGCAGGATATTTATAAAGAAGAAGGAAAAAAATAACAAAGTTATCTTCAGAAATAATTTTCTTAAAAATGTGTTAGGGAGATCTAGGTTTAAAGTGGTTCCTTGCTGGCTGATTCACTGCAGTAAGTTAAAGGTATTGTAAACAGTAGGTAACTTCTGTAAAGTAAATGGTTTTTCCATTAAATACTTCATGTAAGTGTGTTTTGATTTGTACATACTAAAATGCAAAATTACTTCATAATGTGAAGAGTCACTACCTGAAATGGATTAGAAATAGCTTGCGGTAATTTGAATATAAATTTGGCTAGTTCCCCTTAAAAGCACAGCATTTTTTTAACCCTTCTTCAGATTTTTATGGGCACATGGGAACTGCCTTAATATTAGACACTAGATTATTTTCCTTACCTTCTCTTGGACTCACATCTTTTGTTGTCTTAAACAGGGTTCTCTGTTGACTTTTACATTTGCATTATTTCTAACCACTATTTATGCTTTTCCCATAGGTATTAAATTGTCATCAAATAATATTTAGCTTTTTGATAACACCTTTTTGAAGCTCTGTTATAATAGAAAAAGCTCTTTTTAGCAGTCAAGACAATGCATGTTTTTGCTACTAAATGGTCCTTGGTAGTGATTCAGTCACATCCAGCTGTGAATTTTCTTAAGATTGTGGTAAAAGTCGACCATGATAGCTACTGCCCAGGGCCTTGCATTGTGGCTTAGCAGGTAAAGCTGCTGCCTGCAATGCTGGCATCCCATAAGGGCTCCAGTTCATGTTCTGGCAGTTCTACTCCCCCCACCCCCCCCACCCCCAAAGAAGCCTTTCATTTAAGGATACAAACTTCATACATTTCACAAGTACAACTTTAGGAATACAGTGATTCTTTCCACTATACCCGCCCTTCCACCCACGCTCCAACCCCTCCTCCTCCTCCCTCTCTCATTCCCATCCCATTCTCCACTAAGATCCAATTTTGATTAAATTTATACACAGAAGACCAACTACTGAGTTGAACGATTTACACATACACACACAAAAAATTGTTCTCAACAGTGGAGACAAGGGATGTTCAAAGTAAAAGTCATTGCATCTTGAAGTTAATTTCACTTCTTTTTTTTTTTGAAACTTAATTAACTTTAAAGAAGCACCTAAGAATGATACATCTTTTGCAAGCACTTAGACATAATTATAATACAACTCTTTGAGGTCAGAGGTCCTGCCTGGGAAGTTAGTACACAGTGACTCCTGTTGTTTATTTAACAGTTAACACTGTCATTTATGGTGTCAGTGATCATGCGAGGCTCTTAATGTGAGCTGCCTAGGCTATGGAAGCCTTTTGAATCCACAAACTCCGTCAGTATTTAGACAAGGCCATAAGCAAAGTGGAAGTTCTCTCCTGCCTTCAGAGAAAAGTACCTACGCCTTTGATGACCACTTCTTTCCACTGGGAAAGTTCCTTCATGTAGGACATTTTTTGGCTGCTCCACTTGTGATCCAGCTCCCTGCTAATGGCCTGGGAAAAGCAGGGGAAGATGGCCCACGCAGCTGGGCCCTAGCACCCACCGGGGAGACCCCGAAGAAGCTCCTAGCTTTGGCCTGACTCAGCACCAGTTGTTGTGGCCATCTGGGGAGTGAACCAGCACATGGAAGATCTCTGTTTCTCCCTGTGTAACTCTAACTTTCAAATGGATAAAGTAAATCTTTAAAAACAGCAACTACAACAACAAAAACAGGCTGGTATTGTTGTGTAGCAAGTTAAACATGCAGTTCCAGTCCCAGCTGCTCTACTTCCAATCCAGCTCCCTGCTAATGTGCCTGGGAAAGCAGTGGAAGATGACCCAAGTGCTTGGGCCCCTGCACCCATGTGGGACACCCAGAAGCAGCTCTGGGCTTCTGGCTTCAGCCTGGCCCAGCCCTGGCTGTTGTATCCATTTGGGGAATGAGCTAGTGAATGGAAAATCTGTCTCTCCCTCTCCCTCTCCCTCCTCCCACTGCTTGTCTTCCTTTATAACTGCCTTCCAAATAAATAAAAAATGTATCTTGTTTTGTTTTCCCAAAAACCTTTAAGTTATACAAACTTCATGTATTTCATAATTACAAATCTGTAGGAACATAGTGATTCTTCCCACCCTACCCACCTGCACTCCGACCCTTCTTCCTCTTTCCTCTCTTAGTCCCATTCTTAGTTTTTATTAAGTTGTATTTTCAATTAATTTTCTAGGCATACAATTAACCATACACTGAACATAGAGTTCAATAAATAGTATGAAAAAGAAAAAAAAAAACAAAACCCTGTTCCTCAACAGTTGACAAGAGCTGTTCAAAGCTATCACATTTCAAATTGCCAATTTTGCTTCTATAGATTACCTTTTAGGTACTCTATTACCACAATTCAGGGAGAACATATGGTGTTTGTCTTTTTTGGGACCCGCTTATTTCACTAATTATAATGTTTTCCAGTTGAATCCATTTTGTTGGAAATGACAAGATTTTAAAAATTGCCTTCCTCTGCCTTTTTTATTTTAAAGATTTATTTTTATTTATTTGAAAGAGTTCAAGAGAGAGGTGGAGACAGAGAGAAAAGTCTTCCATCCGCTGGTTCACGCCACAAATGGCTGCAATGGCTGGAGCTGAGCCGATCTGAAGCCAGGAGCTTTTTCTGAGTCTCCCATGTGGATGCAGGGGCCCAAGGACTTGAGCCATCCTCTGTTGCCTTCCCAGGCCATCACAGAGAGCTGGATCAGAAGTGGAGCAGCCGGGACTTGAACCAGCTCCCATATCGATGCCGACACTGCAGACTGGGGCTTTAACCTGCTACACCACAGCTCTGGCCCCAGTCTGGTTTTTTTTCATGTTACTAAAATATGTTTAGTTTGTATTCTTGAAGCAATAGTGAGGGATGATGTTCCTAATTATTTTATTCCAGTGATTTAATGTATTTATTTGATTCTGCGTTGTAAATGCTAATGTAGAGTTGTTGATGTTAAGCAGGAATTTCATTTGTTTCCCCAGCCGTATCCTGCAAATGAGAATTCTAAGCCTGCTTCTGAGAAGGTGGATGACTACAGCCATGCTGCAGAATACATGGAGAAGAGTCAAGTGAGGTTACCTTTGGTGAGCTTTTATTCTGCAAGTATTTTATAGAAAATAAGGAGAAAGCATGCATTATGTGAAAATCAACTTGCATCAATTGTATATATATTTAGAGTGAAGTTATGGGTTTTGGGGCACCTCTGTCCATTACTGAAAATAAGTATGTGTTTCCTTCCATACTGAATCTAAAACTTACTTTCTTTTTTCGATTTTAGGGAACCTTAAGTAAATCAGAATGGGAAGCTGCAAGTGAGTATATCATCAGTGTAGGTTAACTGACAGTTTCGAAGATTGTGCTTCAAAATGCTCATTAAGATCTGAGAATTCCAGAGTTTTCCTGACATGTTTTTGAAATATACCTGTTTCCCTATGTATGATGAAGCCCCTTTCTTGGCACAGCTGTTGAACGCCAGGAGAAAATGAATGTAGGATGTTGCTCAGTATAAATGCACCAGCACACCAACAGTTTCATTACTTGTTACAAAATAGCTTTCTCTGTTTCAGTCTTTACCAAAGATTTCTATTAGAGTTTTTGGCTTATATGATACATTTATGTATTTTGTTTGATTCTGGCCACTCTGGTGTTGACAGTGAGGGCATCACGCTAGTGAGTAAAGCAGCAGTGAGCAGGGTATCTTAGAGGGGTATGTGATTGGGAGCAAGCATGATGCATAGACATTCTGAGTGAGGTTCCTGTCGTCAGAAAGGAGCCAGAGGCCTGGCACATCTGTGAAGTCCTGTTGATCTTCAGCAGGTGGATAGATGTGCAGAGGTCAGTTCCAGAGCCTCACTGTCAATGATAAGAAATCCTTTACATGATTGCCCTGAGAACTCAATGGTAGTTTCCACTGTTGGTTTAAAAGTGTTCATTATGTTGAAAGTATAAGAGGTCATAAGAGTCCACTTGGTAAACACTGAGCACTGACTTAACGTAATTCCTCTGAAAATACTTTGGGAACTAATAAGTTAAATCTTCTCCTCCTAGAAGTATACAATCTAATGGAAGGTACAGACAGAAATGCATGTACTACAAAATTACTGTAATCAGAAAGTAGGTGAAAGAGAGGTTAGTGGAAACCAATGAAACCTGAGAAACAACAATAGATGATATTGACTCTGAAACATGTACCCAGCACTGTTCTAAGCTTGTCTTGTACTTAACTCATTTAATCCTGACAACTTTGTTGGTATTCTGTGACTTATTATCTCCTTTTCACAAATGAGAAAGCAGTTAAGTAATTTGGCTAAGATCACAGACCTAATGAGATCAGTGAACCTGAGTGGTCCATGCTTTTAGCCATGGCCTCATGAAAGCCCCTGCAAAACAAGAATACCAAGCTTGCTGAATTAACTGGAGAGGAAGAGCAAAAAAATAAGTAGGGCCAATGTGTTAAGCCTGTTTCTCTTTAATATTGATACCGTTAATAGAATCAGGATTGGAAGATGCTTTGCAGACATAATCATCCTTGAAAAACTGGGGAATGTGGGCATAAAACTAAAACTACCTAGTGCTTTTTCCCTGCAGTAGAGATTGGCCATCTGATATCCTGCCAACCCCAAAATGTGGCATAGGTTTGTTCAAAGGCCATGCAGTATTTTGCCATAGTTTTGGATTGTATTTTATATGAAGTATGGAACTTGGTCATAGCACCCATTCATTTGAGGAAAGGATGGGATAGACTTGTGAAAAGCCATGGGAGGGCCAGTGGCCGAATGGCAGCCGGGACCTAACATCCCACGGTGAGTGGGCTCTGGTGGATTACACTTCTCCAAATTGGAGGCTTTCATGGGCTCGAGAGAGTTTTGTTGACCTCAGAAATTACATTCTAGCTTCTGGTTTGATCTCTCTCACCAAGGCCTGCTGTTGCTCAGGAAGGTGTTTCCTAGGGGAAAGGAACATAGAGAATTGGTGTTGATTTGCTTTTGGAAATAAAAGTAGTCCAAAATTTGTTTCTTTGAATCCCAGTTGAAATGCCTTCATAGAAAGAAGGCATTTTATATAACCCGTAGGACTTTCAGAATTTTTTGAGTTAGAAAGGAAAGAAAGTGGATAATTGCATATCTGAAGTAAGCCTTCACGCTGTTAGTGGTTTTAAATGATCCTGAATTTGAGTAGGACAGGACTGAAGGGTTGTTTGCAGTTAGTGTGGGTGTATGAGTTGGGATCTGGCAGCTGTGGACTGTGGAGAACTCACTTGGAGTAGGGATAGAGTAAATGGTGCTGTCAGCTTTGTTTCCTCACCCTCCACGGTGGTTGGAAACAAACAGGGTTGCCTGTTTTCTGTCTGTATACTATGCTGACAACCACATTTCATTTCTGCTGAAGGAAATCAGAACTTAGTAAATAAGGTTCAGGAGAATAGCATGACCAATGCAGTACTTGGGGAGGACCAGTGTGCTTTTCCTATACAGCTTGGGTTGAAAGCACAAAAAGCTGGTTTGAGGCTTGGGACGTAGCCATGGTCTGCTGATGCTCAATGCCCTCTGCGCACAGTCAGCTCAGGGAGCACGGTCTTCACCTTCCACGACCTGTCTCTTATCCAGGTGCATGAAATAGCTTTACATTCTTTGAAATTTGTCACCTTTTCAGATATTCTCTTACCATAAAATCCACTGCTGTCTTTATTAGATCAAATAAGTTTGAACTTCAGTGTGATTCAGAACAGGGAACCATAAATTAATTTAGCTCTCTTTGCATGAACACACATCAAAGCAGGAAACCTTATGGGACTAGGTGAATAAGAAATACTGGTGCTGGGCCAGATAAATACTGTCTCTTTCGGTCATCATGTGGCTTTTGACTCAGTTTCTTTACTAAGCCCTACAACACAAGAATTGGATAATCAGATGGATTTTAAACATGTCAAGTTACAAATGTTCCTTGTATTTCTTCTTAATAGTTGTGTTATATGTTTCTTATATTTCATCTTACTCATTTTTTGTTTTATTATTTCTGCATAGAAAACCTAGAGTACCACTGCCACTAGTACTTAATGTGGTGTAGCTACTTGATTACCTTGTTCTAGGTAAAAAATACTTATTTGAAAGGCAGAGCTTCAGAGAGAAAAGGAGAGACCGACAGAGAGATCTTCATCAGCTGGTTCACTTCCCAAATGGCCACAATGACTAGGGCTAGCCAAGAGCCCAGGAGCTTTTTCCAGGTCTTCCACATGGGTACAGGGGCCCAAGCACCTGGGCCATCCTCTGCTGTTTTCCCAGACACATTAGCAGGGAGCTGGATCAGAAGTGGAGCAGCCAGAACTCAAACCTGCACCCATATGGGATGCCAGCCCTGCAGGCTGCTGTTTAACCTGCTGCACTGCAGCGCTGGCCCCGTTGTCATTTTCTTTGCCTTTCTACTTTCAGTTTTGCTTACCTCAGATGGTTTTTTGAGGCTTTTAAAGCTGTTGAATTGTTTTTCCTATGGACTGTAATGTTACCATTAGAATAGGTAGATTTGTTTCCAAGTAAGCATATCCCATATCTGCCTGAATGTGACTCAAATAATAGAGGAACTCCTAGAACCGGTGGCTTTTTTTCCTCTTCAAAAGCTGCTTGAGAGCCTAAGAATTTTCACCAAGTTAGACACAGGACTAAGTGTTGCTTTGTTTACCCTGAGGGTGTGATAAACTAAACTGTGTCTTTCCTTTATTTCCTCTTCAGGTATTTACCTGGTTTTTGCCTTCGAGAAGCAGCAGTGACCACTTGGGCAGTTGCCCCTCAGCAGCTGTGCTCTGCCCTGCACAGTCGTGAGCAGCCATCGCCTGTAGAGCAACAACCTTCTGTTTGTTTTCATTCTAAATGTGCAGGATGCTACCAGGAACTCCAGTGTATAGATTGAACACTTGCTGTCTGTGACAGATGAACTTTCATGTGTATATAAGAAGGGGTTGGGACCTTTGTCTTTAAAAATCTATTTTTAAGTAATGTTCTGAGAATTCCATTTACCTCTACTCTCTTTGCTCTTAAAATTTATCATATGACTTCTTAGGCAGCCAGACTGTTTCCACAGTGTTCTTATTTGTTCAATGTGTATTCACAGTATTAAATTTATCACATTTGTAGAATGGTGAAGAGAGCATACTGATTCAGCAGTATGCATGCTTATTTCCATAGTTTTGTTATATGGTATTTTTCAAGCTTAAGTGGGTTGTGTATATATAATTAAAAAAAACTGTTCACTATGTGTTGCTAAAGTTACAAGTTTAAAATTCAGTTTTAGATGATCATAAAAGTTCCCTAGACAGAATTTTAACAGTTCATTGCATTTCACTAGAAATAACTAATTTTGCTAATGTGCAGCAGTTCTGGAACTTTTCAGAACGTTTAGATGGCAGCATAAAGTCTTCGTGAAAACTTCCAGTCATAACAATTAATAGTTCCAGTTTTCAGATCGTATGTAATGAGACACATTTACCCATCTTCATTGAACCATGGGCCGTAGTTATTTTTCTCAAGATTAAGTCAAAATCCCTGTCTTGTGAGACAGTTGTACGTTGTTTTCAAATTTGTACACAGAACTGCAGTAGGAGGGTAAGGATTATAAAGAATGCAGACAGACTTCAGATTAATTCTCACTGAGGTTATCTCTGGGTTATTGATTACTTCAGCCTATAAGTAGACAGTACTTCTCCATAGTAGGAGCCATTGTGTCATCACCTTTCAATATTTTTGTTTTTGCCTTTTCAGAATCATCATGATTGTCATTTTAGCTGATGCCTATGTGAATTATTGTCCTTACTTTATGGCACTGCTTAGAGAACTTGCCAGCTTTTAGATATGTTTAAAAACTGAAAAGCGCAAAGCAAAGCAATTGCATATTCTTTTAAATAAAGTCATTTACTCTGAGCATGGTTTACAAGGACATTGCTTTCTCTAATTGTCCAGAGTACTTGTTTTAAAAGCACAGTCTGAATTAGTTTACATCTGTTGATTGTTCATAGTTAAGAGTAGGGAACTTTCTAGCAAGAGAATGTGGGTTTCTGCATTCTGCAGTAGTCATTTGGGAAATGAGTAAGTACATCTGACTAGTTGCTGTCATTAGCTAGGAAAGGTTTGGGAATGGTGCTGGGTTGATAGCTTTGGTAGGTATAAAAGGCTTTGTCATCCTTTCCTAGCATTTCTTAGTTAACAGGTGACAACGATTCATGTATTCTTGGCGTCCTTCATTCCTTTCCCCTGCATGTGTAATTTTGGGGAAAGAAGAATTCTCCCAAAGGATGGAATAAGTAGTGATGATACAAAAGAGAGAGAAAAGAAAAGTGGAGTTCCAGGGCTTCCAGTGAGGGAGAGGGAGAGGGAGAGCGAGGTCAGCCTGGAGGGGGCAGTGAGCTGCGCCAGCTATTGGAGGTGCAGGGTCTCACACAGCCACACCCACAGGAGCTACCTCCTTCCATGTGCTTTGTTTGTCTTGTTGCCTCTCTGTTCTTGCCCTCCTGCCCTCCTTGCTGCAACTAAGTGGGCAGTGACTTGAGGAACTGTCAGGGAAAGAATTGGAACATGAGGGTGACTGGGACACCCCCGGACCTGTGCTGTTTATCCTCTGGGGAAAAGACCAGAAATGGAGATCAAAAATGAATCACTTGGAGAAATGGAACAAGCTGCGGTTGTGGTGGTTGGTTTGGGAATGTGACTGCACTATGGTGTAACCAGAAACACTGGCAGGGAGCTCTTTGGGCCTAGAATCCATTCAAGGAGCAGCAGCAGTGGCCACAGTGTTGACGGGGACAAGTGAGCAGGGTGCAGCTACAGCTGAGGGGCAGCACCCTCCCCTACATTGGGTGCAGACTGTAGTAGAGTGACTCAGGGGCTATCGGCCTGTGCCTTCAGCGCCAGCTACCCAGGTCCAGTGTGACTCCCCACGCATGTTTGCTTTCAGTGAGAAGGCACTCAGGGAGGCCCTAGCTTAGGTCAGTCACTTGTGCCCCCTCATCATGCTTGGAAACTGAGGAGGTATGATTGCTGTCTGACTTCTGGTGCCAGTAAGGAGTCAGCAGAGGGACACCGGGTGACGTGAACTTTGGGGTGGGATGCAGTAGTAAAAAGCAGAAAAACTGTCAGCCATGGGAGGTTGCTCTTTAGGGATTCCCTGCCTTTTTTGCTGTTGTGGGATTTTGAAATGCATTATCTGATATGTAGGTCTGCCTACAGTGTAGAAGTGCCAGTGTGAACACTCTGGCTACTGAAACTTCATTATTTTTCATTATTGGTAAACTGACTTTCTGTTGTCAAATTCAGGCTTTGAATTTTTTGGTTATCTGAAGCCAGTCACTGCAAAGATCTCAGTGTGAAGAACAGAGGCCAGATCCAGGGACCAGGGTCATACAATAGAAGTTTTACCCAAAGGCCCATGGAGCATACTGGCCTGTCGGTCAACTCAGAAGCATCGATGAGTGTAGTCTCAACCTCTCTAGTTGCTGTTTGCTCAAAACTGCTGGTAGGTATTTTCATTTCCCAGCAACATGCCTGATTCTTTGCCAGCAACCAGGACAGTGGCCACTACACTTTCTTACTGATAGGCATAATTAATAGCAGATACCCATGGGGCTGGGCCCAGGAGACTGTCAGCTCTTCCCCTCATGGACATCTTCCTTTCTGTCTGCCTCTGTTTGGGCCTGGGGAACATGAACTTCCTGCTCCTCACTATGGTGAAGAGGAGGTTTGGGACATCAGCAGTCCTGCCCACAGTTGGAGGATTCCAAGGTAAGCCCCAAGCCCTTGGCTGTCTACACTGCCTTAACCTAGGCTTTGGTTTGTTGGGGGCCACATTCCTAGGACAAAGCTGAGTAGAGAGCTACCATTTTATTTAGCTCCTGTCTAAAGGCCAGTTTTCTAAATACACTTAGTGATAACCCCTTCTGATCCTTAACTCCTTATGGAGTTGGTAAGCACCGTTATCCCGATTTGAATGATAGGGGAGCCAAAGAGAGGATAGAAAGTTGTCCAAGAAAGCTGGCCTTTTTGTGTCCGCCTCCGTGTTAGATACCTCCTGGGGCATGGGGCCCAGGTGAGTCTGCACCCATTCACAGTATGCACCTTGAGATGTTAACCATGGGAGCTCCGTCCTTTTTGATTCCAAACTTTGGTATTTAAACGTGCTCTTGAGCCAGAGCATATGTGACCCACTGGCAAGAAGGCAAAAGTAGACCTGGGTTTCGCAGTCTGGGTCTGTTGACCTCAGAGCACAGTGTGAGTGTAGTCCAGAGGAGGGTCAGCTGGGTGTCCAGGCAGAGGCGACTCATTTGTTTTGTAACTTTATTGTTTTGTAACTTTAGATTGCAGTGTACTAACTGTGCAGTGATGTTTCACCCGAACCTGTTGTAAGCAGTCATACCCTAGGAGCCTGCCCTCTGCTTCCTTCCAGTCACTGCCTCCCTGAGGGTGACCACTATCCTGAGTTCTAAGAGCATAGATTAGTTCTGTCAGCTTTGGATGTTTTGTGAATGGAATTAAACATTATGCATTTCTTCTATCTGGCTTCTTTTGCTCAACACAGTGTAAGATTTTTGGTTGCATGTGTTTGTACATGGTTCATTCTCATGCTGTATAGTATTTCATCAGGTAAATAAACCACATATTATTTATCCAGTGAGCGTTTGGTTCATTTCTGGTTTGGGAATTACTGGTACTGCTCCAGATACTGGAATGTGTGTATTTCAGCGCACAGAGCCACACGTTGCAGGGACACAGTACAGGTCCCTTGTTCTGCTTTATCAGTTACTGCCAAACAGCCCTCCCAAGTTCCCTTGTCCCATATCCTTACCAGAGTTGGAGACAGTCTTTTTCATCTTTTTCTGGTGGGTGTGCAGTGGTGTCCTGTGGCTCTAGGTTTCATGATACTTGATTATTAACAAGATGGAGCACTTTTCCTATGCTTGATAGCCTTTTGCAGTTCCTTATGGTTTTTAAAATCAGAATATAGAGCCATCTTCATAAGACATTTTCCCCAACTACTATTAAATTCAACAATCATGAATGAGGGGCCAGTGCTGTGGTGCAGTGGGTTAAGCCACCGCCTGCAGTGCCAACATCCCACTTGGGTACTGGTTTGGGTCCCAGCTGTTCCACTTCTGATCCATCTCCCTGCAGTGGAAGATGGCCCAAGTCCTTGCGTCCCTGCACGCACGTGGGAGACCTGGAAGAAGCTCCTGGCTTCGGATGGGCACTGCTCCGGCTGTTGTGGCCAAGTGGGGAGTGTTGTGGCCAATTGGGGAGTGAACCAGTGGATGGAAGATTTCTCTCTCTGCCTCTCCTTCTCTCTCTGTGTAACTCTGACTTTCAAATAAATAAATAAATCTTTAAAAAAAAAAAGAAATAGCAAATCTGTTCAAGATTCATCTATTTGTTTATTTGAAAGGCAGAGCCACAGAGAGGCAGAGGCAAAGAGAGATAGAGAGATCTTCCATTTGCTGGTTCACTCCCCAAATGGCTGCAAGGCTGAAGCTGCGCCGGTCCAAAGCCAGGAGCCAGGAGCTTCTTCTGGGTCTCCCACATGGGTGCAGGAGCCCAAGGGCTTGGGCTGTTCTCCACTGCCTTCCCAGGCCATAGCAGAACGCTGGATAGGAAGTGGAGCAGCCAGGACTCAAACAAGTGCCCATATTGGATGCTGCCACTGCAGGTGGTGGCCTCACCTGCTGCACCACAATGCCAGCCCCAAAATAGCAAATCTGAAAGGTCTTACAGCTAGGAAAGAGACTGAATCAGTTATCAAATATCTGACAGAGGCAAACTCTGAACATGATGGCTTCACTGGTGAATTTCATCAAACATTTAAAGAGATACTACCAATCCTTTTCAAACTTTTCCAAAAAATGGAAGATGAAGGGCTACACTGTGGCTTAGTGAGTAAAGTTGCCGCCTGCAGTGCTGGCACCCCTTATGGGCACCGATTTAACTCCTGGCTGCTCCACTTCCGATCCAGCTCTCCGCTATGGCCTGGGAAAGCAGTAGAAGATGGCCCAAGTCCTTGGGCTCCTATACCCACGTGGGAAACCCGGAAGAAGCTCCTGGCTCCTGGCTTCCGATCCGCCCAGCTCTGCCTGTTGCGGCCATTTGGGGAGTGAACCATCGAATGGAAATTTCTCTCTCTGTGTCTCTGTCTCTCTGTAACTCTCTGCCTTTCAAATAAAATAAGCATACACAAAAATAAACAAAAGACTAGAATTTGATGAAGTTAGACATATACATATAAACAAAAAACCTAGTTTAAAAAATGGAAGAGAAATGGATACTTCTTAACTCATTTTATGAGGCTAGCATTGCCCTGATACAAAAGAAAGTGTGAGAAAACTGTTGAGCAGTTCTCAGTCATGAAGATTGGTGCAAACGTATTCAACAAAATAGAAGTCAACTGAATTCAGCAGCGTTTTAAAATGATTGTATGCTGTAGCCAAGCAGTGTTTATTCCTGGGATGTAAGGATTGATCTACATTCAAAAACTGTCGATTTAATGCACCACACTAACAGAATGAAGAGGTGAAAAACACATCATCTCCTTAGTTAATAGAGAAAAACGTGCTTGACAAAATTCCATGCCTTTTTATGATAAAGACACTTAACAAGGTAAAAATCAAAGGAAAGTATCTTTAACATAATGAAAGTCATGGGGCAGGCGCTGTGGTGTAGCAGGTGAGGCCGCCGCCTGCAGTGCCGGCATCCCATATGAGCCCCAGTTCAAGTCCTGGCTGCTGCACTTCTAATCCAGCTCTTTGCTGTGGCCTGGGAAAGCAGTGGGAGATAATCAAGTCCTTGGGCCCCTGCACCCACGTGGGAGACCTGGAAGAAGCTCCCGGCTCCTGACTTTGGATCAGCACAGCTCTGGCCATTGCGTCCATTTGGGAAGTGAACCAGTGGATGAAAGACCTCTCTCTCTCTGCTTCGGCCTCTCTGTAACTGCCTTTCAAATAAATTTTTTTAAAAAAATCATAATAAAAGTCACAATAGTGAACATCATACTCAATGGTGAAAGCCTGAAAGCTTTTCCTCTAAGGAAAAAAATCAAGAATGACTCATTTTCACCACTGATAGTCAAAATAGTACTGAAAGCCCTAGCCAGAAATGACAAACATAAGAGAGAAACTGACTTGGAAACTGGGAAAGAAGTAGTTGAATTAATCTCTTTTCACAGATGATATGATTTTATAGATAGAAAACCTTTAAAGTTTCCACCAAACAATTTAGAACTAATGAATGAATTCAGCAAAGTAGCAGAATACAATGCCTTTACACAAAACTGATTGCATTTCTATACACTGAAAATGAACAAACTGAAAAAGAAATTAAGAGAAAAATTCCATTTAAAATAGTGTCAAAATGAATAAAATACTTTGGATTTAGCTTAACCAAAGAAGTGAAAGACTTTTATAATGAAAACTTGATGAGGATAAGTAAGGAAGCTGTGTTCATAGATTGGAAGAAAATATCATTAGCAATAGTACTCCAAGTGCTTTGCAGTCAAATCTCTATCAAAATCCATTTTGCAGAGGTCAGAAAACTCATCCTAAAATTCATATGGAATCTCAAGGGGTCCCAAATAACTAAAAGCCTTGACACAGAGGAGAGCAAGCTGGAAGACACACACTTTTTTTTTTCATCTTTTTAAGGAATACAAATTTCATAAGTACAACTTTAGGAATAGTTATTCTTTCCTCCATACCTGCCCTCCCACTCCCACTTCCACCCTTCCTCCTCCTCCCTCACCCCTTGCCAGTCCCATTCTCCATTAAGATTCATTTTCAATTAACTTTGTACACAGAAGACCAACTCTATACTGAGGAAAGATTTCAACAATTTGCACACACACGCAAACACACACACACACACACACACACAAACTGGGAACTAGTTTTACAGTTAACTCTCATAATACAACTCATTGAGGAGAGAGGTCCTGCATGGAGAGTTAATGTACAGTAATTCCTGTTGTTAATTTAACAATTAACATTCTCAGGCCGGCGCTGTGGCTCACTAGGCTAATCCTCCACCTGCAGCGCCGGCACTCCAGGTTCTAGTCCCGGTTGGGGCTCCGGATTCTGTCCTGGTTGCTCCTCTTCCAGTCCAGCTTTCTGCTGTGGCCCAGGAAGGCAGTGGAGGATGGCCCAAGTGCTTCGGCCCTACAACCGCATGGGAGACCAGGAAGAAGCACCTGGCTCCTGGCTTCGGATCAGCACAGTGCACCTATTTGAGGAGGTGACCCAACAGAAGGAAGACCTTTCTCTCTGTCTCTCTCTCTCTCTCTCACTGTCTAACTCTGCCTGTCAAAAAAAAAAATTTTAACATTCTTATGTACGACGTCAGTGACCACCCAATGCTCTTGACGAGAGCTGCCTAGGCTATGGAAGCCTTTTGAGTCCACAAATTCTGTCAGTATTTGGACAAGGCCATATGCAAAGTGGAAGTTCTCTCCTCCCTTTAGAGAAGAGTACATCCTTCTTTGATGGCCACTTCTTTCTGCTGGGGTCTGATTCACAGAGATCCTTCATGTAGAACATTTTTGCTACAGTGTCTTGGCTTTCCATGCCTGAAATGCTCTCAAGGCTTTTTAGTCAGACCAGGAAGTCTTAAGGGCTGATTCTGAGGTCAGAGTGTTACGTAAAGTGATTGTCATTCTATTAGTCTGCTATGTGGACTGCTTCCCATGTTGGAACATTCCTTTTTAATTCTATTATTATTACCAGGCACTTGGTCCTTTTTATATGATCACTTTAACACTTAATCTTATCTATACATTCACTTTAACACTAACATGATCACTTTAACATTTAAGATGACATTTTTACCATGGAGCTTAATGGGATTTGGAGTCCCATGACAAGTTTTGAAACTATATAGCTTTACAGTTACTTCTTCCTTCCTCTCTTATTCCCACTCTTATTTTTTACTGAGATCTATTTTCAACTGCCTATATACACAAATGATTAAGTAAAGAATTCAAAAAGTAGTATGAAGAAAAGACCAATGAAACAACAACAACAAAAAAAAGGAAACTATTCCTTGACAGTCAAGACAAGGGCAGCTCAAGTCATCCCTTCCTAAAGCATCAATTTTACTTCTACAGATTTTGTTTTAGGTGCTCTATTAGTTCTCACACATCAGGGAGAATATATGGTATTTGTCCCTTTGGAACTGGCTAATTTCACTAAGTATGATGTTTTCCAGATTCATCCATTTTGTTGCAAGTGACCAGATTTCATTTTTTTTTAATTCTGTGTAATATTCCATAGTGAACATATCCCGTAATTTCTTTTTCCAGTCTTTGGTTGATGGCCATTCAGGTTGATTCCATGTCTTAGCTATTGTGAATTGAGCTGCAATAAACATGGGCGTACAGATAACTCTTTTGTTTACTGACTTAATTTCCCTTGAGTAAATTCCCAGGAATGGGATGGCTGGGTCACATGGTAGGTTTATTTTCAGATTTTTGAAGTATCTCCATACTGTCTTCCATAGTAGCTTTACCAGTTTACATTCCCACCAACAGTGATTAGGGTACATTTTTCCCCACATCCTTGCCAGCATTTGTTTTTTGTTGATTTCTATATGAAAGCCATTCTAACTAGAGTGAAGTGAAACTTAATTGTGGTTTTAAT